ATTCTGCACCTATTGCAATGACAATAACTTTAAATGGGTTATTATCTATATAAATCTAAGTTTTGAAATGCCATTTTTCTCAGGGTTCTTTATTACAGCCTCTCTTCCAATTCTGAAACTTGATCTGTGATGATAATTCACGGAGCAAGAAAATGCAGCCAGGGTCAGAGCCAAGTTTCTTGCATCCATGATAGCCTTCCGGGAGTGAAAATCTATAGGATTTTCTAAGTTTTATGTAAAAGAAAACTTTTATTTTTATGATACAGACACTGAAGACAGTTTTGGTTTTGATATTAAAATTAGCCACATAGTTCTGTATCTTCTTGAATCCCCAGACTCTAAGGTTTATTTCCAGTCATTTATCCTAGTAAGTACTCACCGAGTGGCCACTATTTCCCATATATTCTTCATAGCACTATGAGACAGGTAAATGAGCAAAGTAGATGCTTTTAAGGGCTATGAAAGGCAATAGAGGAAAAAAAAAAAAAAAAAGAAATGACTGGGGACTGAACACTATTTTCTATGGATCTCTAACAGCAAATAACAGTTGTATGTGGACCAAAAGGAAGGGAACTAGCAAGCCATGCATGTAGGGGGAGACATTTTTCCAGACTGAGGAGCAGCAAAGGCAAAGACCCCTTGAAGGAGCATGCTTTGAGGATATTCTGGGTAAAGTAGGAAGGTCCATGTGGCAGGAGCAAAGTGAATAGGAGAAAGAGTAGACAAAATCAAAGAGATGGTAGTTGTGGTTGGGCAAAAGGTAGGACATATTACTTCATGGCTTGATCAGCCATGTAAAGACACTGAAATTGTGAGCAAGAAGTAAGATACTGCGGGACTTAGCTAAAAGATGACACACCTTGGGCTATTTTAAAAGTATCATGTCAGTCTTGGACTCAATTTGAATCATAGACACTCTGGAGCTAAGGACAATGGATTTTAAAAAATGAACTGGGTGTTGTATGTACAAAAAGGAAATTAAGGCTAACAAGATTTTCTGGTGTGGAGAAATGAAGCTGCTGACATACGGAGGACTTTAGTGGGAATATACTGGTGGGTGGGAGCAAAGTAGTTTACTTTTGGGTATGTCAAGTTTGATTTCAATTATGCATCAAAATGAAGATGTCAAGTAGAAAGTTAGACATATAATCTGGCATTCAGGGAAGAGGTTGGGGATGGAGATAAAAATATGGGTTTTTCAGCATGTATGTGGTTTTTTAATGCCCCAAGACTGGAACATACCTTTTAAACAGGGTTTGCCTGTTGCTGGGCCACACCCAGAACTCTGCAAGAGACTAAGGAGTAGTAGCTGGGGAAGAAACAGAGCATAAGAAGGCTGTCCAAAAGCTAAGAAGGTACTTGAAGAAGAAAGTAGTTACGGTGTCAAAGAGCAGAGAGGAGTCAAGCAGCACTGTGTTAAAGACCTCATCAATGCATTTAGTCCTGTGATCACTAGCATCCTTAGCAAGGCTACTATGTGGGATAAAAGGCAGACTGGAGTTGGTTCAAAAGACTAGGAAGGAATAAAGTTTAGACAATAAATATACAAACTCTTCTTGGGGGGAAACAGACAAGTAAGATGGTACGGGGGGAGTGGGACCAAGCAGGGTTTTTATGGCAGGATATTGTGCAGCATGAATCACTGAAATCCTCCAGGAGAAAAGGAAAACATAGGTTTTACAAAAAAAGAGAGAGAAACATCACTGAGATGGTGGCCTTTGTTTGAGAGGTTCAATGGATATACGTAGAGCAACTGAGCTGAACAGCCCAACTACCGCTTATGGAGCTGATGTAGTAATTGGTAATGCTAAACTTTGCTAGATAAAATAGGAAACTGAGAAGTCAGGATCTTTGCAAATTGTCTTATTGAATATTGAAGTCATCAAGAATTAACAAAGAGTGATGTTGGAGAAAGTGAGCCAAGAGCTAAAATACTTGAGCAATGATGGGGAGTGACTGAGGGCAGGGCAGGGACTTTATAGGCAGATGTCAAGAGCTTCACAGTGGTGGGTAGTGGAGGTGGGGAGGATCGCGGTCTGGAAGTGGCAAGGTGTCCTACTATTTGTATTTCATTATTCATAGTTGACAGAATAGAGTAAAATAATAATACTTTGGGGCATGAATATAGTGTGGAACAAGTGTAAGAGAAGTACTTCCTAAACAATTTTTGAAAGAAGGAAAAAGAATACTTCAACGTAAAAGTTCCAGATGGGAATACAACCAGGTATAACTATATCCAATTCCTGTAAATTTTTGACAATATAAAACACTTAGAAAATTATAGATTAAAAAAATTATGGATGCAACCAAATGATAGTTTTCTTTTAATATTATAAACTTGGCATCCTTATACAGTTATGTTAATGCTGTAAAAAGATAGCTAAAATGCACAGAAATAGTTTTATGGCATCCAATTTTAAAATTCACAGAGGTTATTGTTCTTTTTTCTCTGCTGCTATCTCGTATTTGAAATTCTGATTCAGGATAATTTCTGAGGTGTCTTATATGAGCCATAATATGTATTACTATTCCTTTACACTTACCCAGGGGAAGAGATAAGAAAAAGGATGATGGGCATGGATATTTACCATGTACAAATCATGATCCGTGGCTGGAAATGAAAACTCACCTTCCCATCAGCATTTACAGGGGCTCAATTGTGTAGTAAACTTTGGAATTGATAAAACATACACCATTAAAACCAAACCGTTTCATGCAGGGAGTGAATTAGTTTGCAGATAACTATGCAAAGCCAAAAATCTGGAAGCTTTAGGAAATTTTTATTTTAACTATGTTTTCTAGTTTTTCTCTAACTGCTTGAATATCATGGACACAGATACCAAGATTTTGATCTGGATTTAAAATAGCTCAAAAGTTCCTGAGGTATTTTTGTTTAAAAAATTTTTTTGGAAATTTTTATTATGGTGCATTCTGACCCTTTGTAGGATGGCATGTCTGGAAGAATAGTTTGAAGTACAGGGTTGTGATCTCATACTGAACATTATGCATTATGAACATTATGCAAATATTTGTATAATTTAATTATCTATGGAAAAATTTCTAGAATAATGATACAGTATGGAAATCAAAACAACTTAAGAAAATATTTAGTGGAAATATTTACGTTGTCAGGTTTGAACCTGTAAATTCTTAAGAGGTTTTCTTCTTTGCTGGGGTTCCTGCAAAGCGGTCAGTTTATACCCATTTTATTTGGGTCTCATGGGAGGCAGCTCATGTTAGGGTTGCTGATATCGCTAATCAAGGCTAAACTACAGTGACAGGAGAAATATTGGCAGATAAGATAAATCTGGGATTTGGATTTTTGTGTTATAACTATGTAGACTTGGTATCAGTTTTTGGTTGATGGGTTGGTTTATTATTTTTTGTTTGATTTAGTCAATTCAAACTTTTTAAGAGTGAGCTAAAAGGTAACTAACGGTTTATGGAAACTGTTGAAATGGTCAGAATATAGTATGCTGAGAAGGTCTGCATGGGTGAGGGCAGACTCAGAGTTGCCACTTGCAGATTATAGCTTTTTCTCATATGTTCCTGCAGAACATTAAAATTAACCCTTAAGTTTGACCCATAACCGCATCTTTCTTCTTAAAAACATAGCAGCACATCTAACATCTCAAAGCAATCAGCACAGATGCAAGTGACACCTGTTCAAGCAGACTTTCGAAGATCGCACATGCTAACACAAAGAACTCTTCCATGTTTCAAGAATATGATGACAGGACCTGATACACATAATAGGGAAAGCCTTTTTTTCTTTCTTTCTTTTTTTAACTGCGTGGAATGTAACATCAGACTTCAGCCCTTTCTGGCAATGTACAAAAACAAATGGCTCCAGCCTGAACAGCACATTTCTTTCTAACCTACTGCACAAGGACTAGAGACATCAATTACCAATGAGTCACAAAAGAAGACAGAAAACTGTTAGTAGGTCATGCCAACAGGAATTAAGATGCTTTAAAAATATGTTTTTGATGTAAGATGTATTCAGAGTGCATTTTTAGAAAGCAATGTAACATGTTAGAAAAATTGTTCAAGTAGTCTTGTGAAACATCACCCAAACCTTAATTAATCTTGGTGAATGAATAAATAGGTTTAGGTCTTCCTGAAGCATTATTTAAAAGTTTCTAAGCTGGGTATGATGGTGCACATCTGTAATCCCAACACTGGAGAGACTGAGGCAGGGGAAGATTAGTGTGAATCTGGCCAGCCTGGGCTACATAGTGAGTGCCAGGTCAACTTGAACTACACGGTAAGAATTTGTCTCATTCTTCCTTCCCCACCAAAAAAAGTTTCCAAGAAAAACATTGAGATGTGTCTAAACAGATTGACTAGAGCTTATATGAAACTGTTGATATTGTGTGCAATGACAATGGTCTGAATGAAATTGGCATGGGGGGAGATTCTCATTATTTGAAGGGACCTTATAGCTCATTCACTTCTACCAACCACAGGATTCAGGAATCCGGGCTACAGTATCCCTGCAGCACCCAGGAAGGTTGGTCACCTGCCAGACTTTGGACAAAGATTGTAGTGTGGACAGGCTCGATGAATTTTGGTGGACAGTTATCAATTTACTACAAGGACAACTGACCAATCCAGTAGAACTTACTTTGGGGGTAAGGTTAAGTTTCTCCAGTTTCTAGGTACAAAACCTCCTACAGGAAGATTAAAACTAGATATTTTTATGAAGATATTATTGAGATGCAGAAGCAAACACCCTTCTGAAAGAAAAATTATGTCAAACTAAAAAGTTGGAAACTGTGTGAGCCACAAGAATACAATTCTGATTTATTCTGCATGATGTAGGCCTTATTATGTTAGGGCTGGGGCCTGTCCTGATGGAGAATATCTCTTTTTGAAGATAAAAGCTTCAAGGGATTCTACTAATATATCTTAAGGAGCAGATTTGTGGGGGACTCTTAAATTTGGCTTTGCCTTAAGCTAAGTGTAAAAGATTTGTACAAAAATATAAAAGGCATGGCTCGATGGTTAACGTCTGTGTTTTATTGTTGTTGGCACCAGAGAAGCTCATGTTCTATGTTATGTCACTGTACATACTGTAAACAAGACTGCATTAATATTGTCTTATGATTTCTTGTTTCAATGAATCTAGATTTTAAAAAATACATTCACAAACTACCTTATGTTTGAACACAATGATTCCCTTTTATTTCTTAACTGTACCCAAAATTCCCACAATAAAAAATCATTTAAAGCTGTGTGTTTTGAACTTATCACTTAGAAATAAAACAGAACAAAACAAAACATAAAAACAAAGATCAGTTTGCAACATAATTTAAAAAAGCTTCTGGTTTAAAATACCACAGCAGCAATATAAAGAGCTGGTGGCAATCACGTTCGGGGATGAGACCCAAATCAATATATTTTCGTTAACATCGACATCCAATTACAGTAGTTGCTAAATTCAATCCAAACAGTTTATTGCTGAATTTGTTGATGGAATTTGTGAATATAGTATTGTTCAGCAGCATAGTCACAGCAGTAAAAATGAGAACGGGATGGTTTCATTGCTTTTGAGAGCTAAAGGGGGACCATGATGAAGACATCTTGGTGATTGCCCAAAAATAATCCTCAATTGCATTCCTGTGTTACCTTTTAAAATAAATGCACATGGCAACTACCTTTGGGGGTGGGTGGGGTATAAATATCTAGTCCAGAATCCAGAATATTTCCTTTTCCCTCCCCTCCTTGCCCAAACTACCAGATTGAAATGGCACCATTTTCCTAATGTGTGTTTCGTTCTCATTAATAGTATATCAGCTGCTCTAGTATTTAGGCAACATTGGTAGGATAATTTTTTGTGGGGGGTGGGAGGGGGGTGTTCCATTTATGGTAATTGCTTTCTCCAAAATAAGCCACATTCATTTTTGTTGTTGGATTCCCGCTCCCACATTTTTTAGAAGAACAATTTGGCCAACTACTGTTTTGTTTTAAAATATTACATACACCTGAGATTGCCAGTTGAGCTCTCTATATGTCTCCTGGAGATAACTGTGATGAACAGTGAAACAAAAATTAACAAACGAGGTAGGTTAAAACAGGAAGCGCAACATAGATATCATTTTGCAACACCTTGATACCACAGGCGGCCATGCTCGTAGCTTTGGGAAAAAAATCGCAGACAGTCACATAAAAGTTCAAATCATTCGAGTAAGAGTTTATAAGGGCACAAGTCAACCTGAACTAAATACATACATATCTGCACAAATGTTGTTTACCATATGTTGGGTATTTTGGAGGAAGGTATAGTGATTAGGGTCTCAAAATATTGGCCAAAAGCCTTGCTTTCAAGTTCTCTAAAATCTGAGCCTACTGTGTCTGAGGCAGGCTCAGAAGTCTAGTCCTGTCTCTCACCAACTCAGGGAAAACACAGGCAGCTCAAAAACATTTATTATTAAGTTTCTTTTTTCAGTCACAGTTTTCATTTTGAGAAAGTGGCACCCTTACGAGAGAGTCGGGAGTGTCCAGAGCCTGGATGTCATTCACTTCCCAATTCCCAGAAGGAACTCAGCAGTGTCTCAGTCTTAATGAAGCCCAAACCAAGTGACTTTGTATTTTTAAAAGATCATATATATATATACATATATATATATATATATATGTATATATATATATATATATATTTTTTTTTTTTCCCCCTAGAAGTTCATCCTGACCCGTCTGTCATCTAATCTTTTGCCCTGATTTGTTGCGTCACAGCTGAGGGAAAGTTGTATTACCAGTCCTTCCTCAGTCACTGAGTCCCTCCTCGGTCGCTAGGCCCACTCAACTCAATGGCATTTCTATCCCATTCAGTGTACTCCATTCTTTAAAGGACCACATAAAAATATGGCCTGTCAGACTCAAAAAAGTGGTACTTGATTTTATTAGACTAAGGCTAGTAGTTTAGCCATTTAAAATCTATTTCCCAAAAGAGGGGAAAACTAGTACTTTTCTTCTCTTTTAAAAATTCATTAGCCAGTTGCTATCGAAAAGCAACTATTTAGGTTGGTGAAGGCAAGAGAGTTCTTAAATTATCCCCGCTATGCAGTTACGGTCTTCAGCGTGAGGAGATAAGGTACATTTATTGTGCTGTCTCTTACCACTGTAGATGGGAAATTTTACAACATACTTTATACTTAAAACTAGCAGGCAGACAGAATTAAAAACAGACTCATTTTCTCAATATGCATCTCTCCCATTCTTATAAAATAAGGGGGTAAAGGAAAAGGTAAAAAAAATTCAAAAGCCACCATAACACAGCTTAATCATAAGAGCACACAATATTTGTTTCTATCCCTAACTCCAAAGGGCACATGGTCCATCTCTGTCCACAAATAATGCAGCATCCTTGGGGGATCTTCTGGACATTCCTGCCGCCTTTCTCTCTCCTTCTCAACAGGCTGCAACACTGAAAGATGGACTGTTTTAGGAGGGGTGGAGGAAGAGGAAAAGGGCAAAGAGTATGTTCAATCAAGCCTTCTGGTTCTGCCTCTAGACTGGCATAAGTCCACATGAGTTATGTTCTTTTACATTAGAAATAACGCCATGAAGATAAGTGCCAAGTGCTCTTCTGTTACCAGTTCATCATGGAATTTCTGTTGAGGGTCATGAAAAACACTTGGCTACTTCCTCCAGATCGCACGGATGCAAAAAATACCTGTTTGAAATTAAAAACAAGTTAGTTTGACTGCATGGTTTTTTTCCCTCTTTTCTTCAACCGTCCATCCATTTCCTTTCACATGTCTTATCTTTGCCATGTGTCAGCTCTTAGGAATCCCAGTGGCTAGTGCTTATAACGTGCCTTTGGAGACAGTGCATCCATTGTAAACATGCCTGCCTATATTATTACTGTTGATACTATTACTCAGTCCAGTACTGGCCTCGAGGGACATTGAAGGGGTTCTCTGTAGATTATAACATCCCTCTGGGTGCTCACATTTTAAAAGGGAGTTGCACGCTAGGACAACATGCTAGACTTTTGGCCTATGGCACAACAGGTCCTTTGATGGTTTCTAGAAAGGCACAGAGGCTCCACTTCTCTTCCTCAAAAATGACACAAAGGCATATCAGGATTTAAGAGAATCCCTGCAAATTGCTAAAGTCATGGGCAAATTTTGGGCCTCCTAACTATTCTCAACTTCAGTTTTTAAATTTTAAAAATTAAAAAATGAACATCAATGGCTATGGTCAGTGTTTAACGCCCATTCACTTTGGCATTTCAACAGTTAACACTTAGTGTCTCTGCTGATGCTGGCATATCCTAGGCAGAATGAGATGATGGCATTAATAAGCAGAACCATAGTCCATTAGGTCTCAGTCTGTTAAATCACTTTATCAAGCAACGGAGAGAAGTGAGAAGATCTGGGTTACTGCTTGCTTCAGCTGAATGTAAATGAACCACTGCCCCAGGAAATAGTTTTTTAGGCTGTGGCATAGCCCTTCAGTCAGCCAACACCTAATTTTGGCCAAGGCATTTGCTTTTGTCACGAGTATTAAGTCTCTGCTACTTCATTTGCCCAACTTCTTTAGAAGAATGCTCTCTTCAACAACTTCTTAAGAAGTCCATAGAAATCTTGTCATCCAGTTAATGCTACATATGAAAATAAAGCTACGGTTGGGTTCAAGGAATCAAAAGGTGAAGGGCAGAGAAGATCATGGAAAGCCCTAATGTAGAAAAGAAAGGGATGCTATTCTCTCTGATTGTATGTCCTTGGTTCTAAACCTTTGGTCCCAGACACTGGTGTGGTCTCAGCCTACTTCTGAAGGTATGAACCTGGATGAACAAGCTGCTGGGATGGGTCATCAGGGAACTAGAGTGCAGGTGTCCAGATCTAGATCTCTCCTAGTCTCATCATCCCCAGACACTGGGTTGGTGCAGAGTCTTACTATGTGAGGTCTATTTTCAGACATGCTCTTAAGTCCCTGGGACTAGCCCTGCCACCCACAGCTACTGTGTACCTATATCACACCAAGTCACAGTAGCTGGTTGGAGTCAAATATGGTAGGCCAGACCCACAGCGCAGTGTTAGATGAAGACCATTCTAGCCTCTGGGGAATCAGGGTAAGCAAAGAGATACAACAGTTCAACTTACTACGTTATTTTCTGTGGGTGTCTATGTCTGCTCCTCTGGGGGAAGCACTTCTGTTCTGGCCATTGCCACAAGGATGAATTTACAAATGTAGTACATCTTAGCTACTAAAAACTCTGACTTACTCTAGAGGGAGGACAAGGTAGAAGCCACACTGCTACAGAATACCCCACAGAGGTGACTAGTCATGCTAAATGGACACAGCTAACTTCACTGGAAAACAATCCCTGTATGACATTTCAGAAGAAATATGGCTGGAATGACACAGGACATGGCACTAGTTGAGTTTGTGATTGTGTATTTGTTAAAGAATGGATGACATTTTTAAAAAGCTTATATTTCTACATGTCAAATGTTTTACACTGATGGGTGAATACAATGTGAGGGGTAGGCTCTAACAGTGACTTTGCGAAGAGTCTAAAAGTGGAAGTATAAAGTTGACCCACTGTAAGATAACAATGATGGACCAACTGCTCTAAGTGCTTAGGAGAATTTGGGATGTCTGCTGAGTTTTTGTGGCATGCAGGCCACAAAAGTTACTTAGATTTTACAAGAAAATTTTAGATGCTTTATGTTTGTTTTGATATGTGCATAATATATCTTGAGTGTTCACATGAATCAAACCAAATAATGCCATTTCAAGGTAAATATTGATTGTTTAACACAAATGTGATTCAAATCAGTGTAAAGGAAAATGAAGGTTGCACAGGTACCTGGTGGTCTCTTAAAATGCAAACACTAATGCAAATGTTGAAACGGATTTACCTTATCATTTCTTTCACATAGAAACTTTAACCTTTGAGCTCGCTTATGCATAAATACTCCATCCAAATGTCCTGTTTCCACTGACCGGATCTCAATAGCTTTCTCGCCCCAGCCCATTATCTGATTGGAATGAATGTAAGCTGTCAAAAGGAATTTCCAAAACTGCATTAAAAACATTAGATGGGCAATAACTCACAGCATCTGTTCACATCTTAACCACAAAAATGACAAACAACTTGAGATTAACACACAAAACAAGTTTTACAAGTGTTATTCACAGATCATTTTCTTTTTTTGTGGACTCAAATGGTTGTCTCACATTTCTTGACTTTCGTTTCATTTGGGGGGTGTAACTGCTGAAGGAGATAAGGAATGGTTAACCTACCCACAGAGGTGGGCATTTCTCCCCATTGGAGCACCACATCTTTAGTTATCCGACCATAGGTGTTCACATACACCCCCTCATCCTCATAGCAAACAAGCATTTCCATTCCATCTGTTTTAGGCAAGATGACAATAGCATGAGGAGTGATATTGCCCTGAATCTAGAAGACAAAGAAAGGCAAAGCATTATGTTTTAAAATGAAATAACATCTCAAGTTTCATCTCTAAGCACTGAAACAGTTTTTCCACTTTTATTCTAGAGCTTACAATTTGCTTCATTTAGTTTAACCAGGGACCTATCAAGTGGTAAACATAAATGTAGTTATTAGATCAAAAAAATCCAATTTATTTGTTTCTAAAAACAATAGTAAATATCTACGGAGCACCTACCATGTGCCAATCACTGGGCCTTTTACATATATTCTTTCTAGTCCTTAGGACAGCTTTTCATGGTATGCATCTTTGTTTACAGTTGAGGAAGCTGCATCTCAGAAGGTTATGTAATTTAATCAAAGCTGGGCTTAAATTTGGTAATAGAATTGGAGTTCAAGTACATGTTTTGCTGATGCTGAAATTTATGTTTTCTGTTAGAATTACTACTTCCAACAAAGATGAGGAGAATGCAAATCAGCTGAATGAGATTGAGAGCACTGAAATGGGGCCAACATGGATTTCTCCCAAATACGCTATGAGTATATAATACAGCCTGTTTATGAGTATTTGAACACCAGAATAATCCAAATTAATGGTTTGTTTAGGGAAAAATTTGAATTACCACTCATTAAGAAATCATGCTATTGAAATAAATGTAGATTGATTTGTTCTAGGCAAAGAAAGGTGGTGGTGTTGCAGTCCCCTGGATGAGAATGTCTTGGCAGCCGGGATGTGCTGGATGATAAGAAGGGGAGTAGTGAGGCTGCTCACAGTGATGTTCCAGCAGCCCAAGAATGTGAGTGTGATAAAAAATATAACGTAAGAATGAGTGAGAGCTCTCTCTCCTTCCCTCTCCCTCCTGGCTCCCTCCCTCCCTCCCTCCCTCCCTCACTCTCTCTCTTTCTCTCTCTGTGTGTATTATACTAAACAACTTATTTTAAGTGAATGTGCTTTTTCTAGGTCACAGTCTTCAAACTCTCAAAACACCTATCGGCAATGGATTAGGCCTCTGACTTTCCTGATGCGTTCTATTGTATATAAACCTAAGGCTGACAGGGATTGTACACAGGACACCTGGTCTACTTTGAACCAGTTCCAATAGATGAATACATGCAGGATTTCCCTGAAGAGTCATTTTAGGGAATGTGTTAGTGTTGTAATTTGAATATTATATTGTTAATAAGTACAAACACAATTTGTAGAGTCCTGAGCCAAATACTTTAAACCCATTACCTAATTTAATGCTGAGATACCCTGGGGGGTAGGCTTTTCATTCCCATTTAATACATATTTACACATGTGAAGGTTGAGGATTGGAAAGGCTGCTGAACATTTGCATTACTGAAAATTCCTACATGCTGGAGTCAGAGTATGAGCTCCAGTATGTCTGAACCCCCCCCCACACACTGCTCTCATACTGATGATAGGAACTAAAAATAGAGGAAAAGGGTTTTCTCCAAAAAGTTAGTTTATAAGCATTGAATTAATCTCCCATCAAAAACTGAAAATGGAAACTCATCTAGAATATAAAATTTATGTCCCTGAAGGAAGGAAAATTGCATTTTAATCTAAAGCCCAAGGAGAGAATAACAGAATGCATGTCAAATAATTTCTATTAAGTGCTACTCTCTAGAAAGTAATGAACACTCGTTGAATTTACATGATTTATTAAAAACTTCTCTACTTAGAGAAGGTCTAAAGTTCATGTGCTTTACTGGTTAGTAAAAGTAAGCACAATTTCTATTAAGAAATATGCAGAAACAAATCCCCTATGTTCAGAGGGCCTTTGACAATCTGCTTCTAGAAACTTACATGAGATGGTATGTAGATATCATAAGAGTTTCCTGAATCAACATCAATTACATGGAAACCAGTGTGTGAGCCAAAAATAACCTTTAATCTCTGACCTTCTTCTACAGTGAGGTCAACAAGTAGAGGCTTGTGCTGAAGATCTGCAAAAGACTATAAACAACATCCCATTAGTCTCTACACTTCTTGAAGAAGTTAATTTCAGTCCCTTTTCAGTTGAAAAGCTAGGAGATTTCAGTACCAGTTTTAAATCTGTTTAGCTTCCTGCTCTAGGAGGAGGAGTCTAGCAGGCACTGGTGCCCTCTTCTCCATCTCTGGTCCTTCAGAGCAGACAAGGTGGTTGACAGCTGTCAATTTTGAGTATCACTGTATACTGAAAACTTGATACCTGGGTACTGCTGTTATTTCCAGTTTATTTCTGGCCTTTACTCTTTAGAGACATTCTAGTGACCTCTCTGGTCCCTCTACTTCCCATGTAGCCCATCTGTGTGTTTCAGAGACTGCGTGGGGTTGGAAGCCATGACCTGCTCTGTATTGAGCTTTTTCAGGATTAAAGAGTATGTTCTAGAAACAATTTCCTTCAGTGATTGAATGGCTGTCAAAGTAGCACTCTTTCTAAAGTCAATGTTGAAATATGAGCTAGGTTTAGATAATAAGAGAAGACAAGAAGACCTTGGACTTGCATTAGATGTTAAGTTTAACTATACAGGGAACAAATAAGTCTAGCCAAATTTATCAAGGTTCTCTGAGCTTGGATCCAGGATCCAAGACCTAATTAGCATTCATATGTTACTCTGGTATGATTTAGTAACACCTTTTCTGGACTTTGAAATTTAGGGGAGGATTTGAGAAACCAGAATTGGCTTGGCCATAATATCACTTCCATGTATCACCCCTTTCCCTCATCTTTTGTTAATGTCATTCTCACAGCACAGACATGTTTGTTCTCCTATCCTTGTCCTATGGGAAGGTTGCATCTCCTGCCATCTCTAGTCTTTCTTGTTGAAGTCCTTGCCTTTTTTCACTTCTCTCTAGTGTGGGACTTCTCTGATTTGCAGTCTCTCACGGGCTTTGGCTAGAACCTGACGGCAGTAACCTCAAAATCAGAAGGGCAACTTGATTGGAAAGCTTTTACAAGACAGATTGTGGCAGAACAGCAGCACCACATTAAGTTTTGGGAACCATCCTTTAAATGTTACTGGGATCCTAATGTATTACAAACATTTCTTTCTATGAAAGCAGGGTCATGGACAGGAGCCCATTTCCATGGATGAAGCCATCTTCCTGAGAACATCACAAATAAAGCCACTTGTACTAACAGAAAAAGATAGAAGTGGCGTTATTCAGCCCCAAAGAAAGCTGACATCACATTTCTAGGGCAGCTTCTGCTCTCACATGTAGCATATGTGGCAGGAAAGAATAAATAGAGCCAAAGAGAGATAACAGTCATAAAGGTGAAGTGAAAGAGTGAGTGTACAGAGAAACATACAGAAAACAGAGGATAAATTGACTTGCACTATGGAAAGGATTTGTGTCTCAGAAAACACAAAAGTGCCGACAAGTACTGGTCCTTCTGGCCTCCTGGGTTCAGCTTTCATGAGCTGGGGTTGATGAGACTAGCATATGCCCATCTCACTTCTGTTGAATCTCATTACAGATCATTCCAACTAGGCCAAATACAGATTCAGACAAGAAAAAAAAAAAAAAGCACAATCAAAATGGAAGAATGTAGAGAAACTAGGTCATTTCTATAACCAATCACAGTCAATATTCATTTCAGATAAGACTTACTAGTGACAGGGATATATGGGCATCAGTTGAGTTCCACAGGTTTTATCTAGAAAGGCTTATGATGAGCAGAAGAGATAGAGACCCAGTTTAATCTTGAAATTCAGTGCACATTATGTGGACAAAATAGACAACACTACAGGTAGCTTTGCCATAAATATTATTATGTAATAATGCAATTGATTTTTTTCTAGCAACCATTCTATATTAAATGTATCTTTAAAATGATGATTCATAGATCCCAAATGAAGGAGAGCAAATATACATTTCAATTTGATCAATTTTAAAGCATTTTTTTATATTTAATTTTTGAAATATTAAATCTATTTTGAATACTTTTAAAATAGATTTACTGCTGGCGTGTACAATAAAAGTGGTGTTGATTTATATGGTGTTGTGATTAATATACTGTGTCAATTTGAGAAGTTTGGAAGTTTAGCTGAGAGACTCAGCAGGGAGCCAAGATCCTTACTTTATAAATATCCTCATCCTGTGCAAGAGGAGGGCAGAGATTTTGTGAGTGTTACGCCCACCCTGGAGGTGGGGGAGTGGCTAGTGTACAGTACAAGAGAGGATAAGAGGCTTGCTTTCACCCCTTTTGTTCTGGCCCCTTTTGCTTGGGCTGCTGCCTTGAAGTATTGCCTCAGTGCCATGCCACCTTGCCTTGCAGCTGATTATGGACTGAAACCTCCAAAATCTGTAAGCTATGTGGATTTTTCTTTCCTTAATTTTGGGTGTTAAGTATTTTGTCCCAGCAACAAGAGAAAATTAACCAAGATAGAATATAGTACCAGTAGAATGGGGTTGTTGCTGTGACCGTACCTGACCTTGTTGTTCAAAAGCCTTTGGGAATGGCTTGTGGGAAGAGTTTGGAAAGGTTCAGAGATGTAGCCTGTAAGAGTAGCCTGGAATGTCTCAGGCTGTTCTGTATGGGAGATTCTGGTCACAGCTCAGAAGACCAGAAGGCAGATAGAAATCCTGCCAGTGAAGCCCAGGCTTGGGAGGGTTCTGCTGGGAAGAAGTGCATTGGGTACTGGACTCCAGATGATGTGTGTTATGGCTTGGTTGAAAATTTGAGGCCTGCAGCGTCGCATCCCAGGGCCACTTTCTAGCCCAGCCTTTGACCTCCTCCTCCTGTGCACTTGGCTTTCTGTCCCAGGCTGCATCTTCACTGCTCCTCCTGTGTGCAAGGTGTGGACTCCAGGCTTGCCAAACCCCTTTTCAACTGTGGCAGTGCCTGTGGCAGTGCATGCAGGCCACAGCAGCTGTCTGATTTGGGATTAATTTCTGCATTTTGTTTATGTCGAGACTTTGCTGAGATTAAGGGCAGTGAAGACATTTCAAGGCAGCTGAATGTTTAGGCTGTGGCATGGCTACTGTTGGGGGCTTTTAGCCAGATTTATGTTGTGAATCAAGAGCAAAGAGCCCATCAAGATGATTAAAATATTGTGTGTTTGGCCAGAAAGCTGTGAACTGTAAAGACAGAGCTGAGACCTTGGTTTCTGAGAAGGAACAGAAAAATAAAAAAGATGACCTGTAGGCATCCTGGGAAGAGGCAGTGGGTCTCCATCCTTTGCAGCCTCAACACTGCAAAAATGAAAGACTTTGCTTGGAGGAGAAAGCTGCAGAGTGCCATGTCCCAGAGCGGCAGCAGAAGCTGTGAGAGCTTCCAAAATGGCAGCAGCCACACAGTTTCCAGAATAGAGGCAACATAAAGAATTTGCTCCTCACAGTCAGGTTCAGAGTGCTCAGTGACCCAGGCATTTGACCCCTACAGCCAAGAGAAAGGAAAGCCTGGCTACTGCTCCAGGTGGCAGCAAACCTTGGCATATCCACGTGGCACTGGTTTTAGGTGCATGGAGAATGCACAAGTTTTGAGGTTAAAAAGGCTTCCATCCCAGTTTCAGAATGCCTAGGAGGCCAAGCAGCATGCCCCTGAGAGGGCAGTGTGTGAAGATGTGAGGGTGAAGCCGCAGGTGCACTGGGAAACCCAGAAATTTGGAAAACCCAGGAGAATAGATTGTTTAAGTAAACCAGCAAGAAGTGAGCAAAGCAAGCCCAAGAGAGAAGCCATGGGAACTACAACCACCAGATTGCTTTAGGGGTGGAGCCACACAAGTCCTTTGGAGCTCACAATTAGCTACAGATTGCTTCAGATGCTGGATACACAACTACAGAACTTAATGTTTGCCCTGTTGGATTTTGGACTTTATTTGATTCCAATGCTTTGTATCCCCATTTGTACCTTTTGGAATGGGAATGTTTATCTTGTGCCACTACATGTTGTAAGTGTTTAACTTTGTTTTCATTTAAGTGTTTAACTTTGTTTTCATTTGTATGAGGTCTTGCAGCTAAGAGTTTGGCTTCCATGTCAGAGGAGAATGCTGAAATGTTAGGACTTTACCAACTCTTACAGATGGACATAAAGAAATGTCTTTGGGGAGGGGCAAGGGCAGAATGTTATGATTCTATGTGGATTAAGTCTAACGTGGATAGACTTAATACTGTTCTTAAGGATTGTCAAACCTGTGTTATAATGCTCAAGTTGTACAATGCTAAGAATAAGCATGCCTTTGTATCTGGAGGCTGGTTTAATTATGTGTCTGTTTGCCAAGTTAACAAGGGGTGCATTGTTCTGGTTGATACTTTGTGTCAAATTCAGTTTAGAAGTTTAACTGAGAGACCTAGCAGGGAACCAAGCTCTTACTTTGTAAATATCTTCATCCTGTGCAAGAGGAGGGCGCAGGGATTTTATGAGTGCTTCACCCACCGTGTAGGGGAAGAGGGTGGCTTGTGTATAATACAAGGAAGGGAAATAGGCTTGATTTGTCCTTTTGGTGTAGCCCCTTTTGCTTGAGCTGCTGCCTTGAAGTATTGCCTCAGTGCCATACTACCCTGCCTTGCAGGCAACTGATTATGGACTGAAACCTGCAAAAACTGTAAACTAAATAAACCTTTCTTTCCTTTATCTTGGGTGTCGAGTATTTTGTCTCAGCAACAAGAAAAAAGTAACCATTGGAAAACAGACCACTGATAAAATCTGAAAATAAAACAAAACAAAACAAAACCAAAACAACAACAACAACAACAACAACAACAACAACAACAAAAAAACAAGCCAGCATATGCCTACTTACCTTAAATGCCATGAACTTATGATATGGTTTAGGAGCCCAAGCATATATCTCTACAGCATTCTTTAAGGCAATCACCAAGAATTTGATCCTTTCATATTTAACTGTAATATAAAAGTTATACATTTTAAAAAACCATTGATTTATTGAATGCTTTTATATTAATTTATAAACCATAAGACTCAAGTATATACCTCTAGAGATATTCTCCCTAGTTAAGTGTGATGCTCCTGGTGTGCATTTTTTTTTAAATAGATACAGATCTAACTTCTATACTTGGCTGGCAGAATACTTGGAGTGTTCACCTTTATATTAGAAGTTTTTTCTTCATCTAACGATGTAACTGTCTTTAACTACTAAGTTTAGACATGATTATTCATTGTAATAAAAATTGGCATAACTTTGCTATTTTTCTGGGTTTTTATATGCACTCATTTATTAAGAAGCTGAGGTAGAAAAATTTAGCAAATAGGTAGTGACATAAAGGAAAGCATTTGCTTATTATTTAAATTTGAATATAATTATTAAATAATTATTTGCTTATGTTTGTAATTAAAGATGGATCATTAGGAGCTCTGGATTCTGCCAGTGGCTTATTTTTAAGGGCTTTATATATTTTTGACAATTCCTTTAACATTTAGGAAAATGGAATGTTATAACAAATATCTTAAATTTCATGAATAGAGACTTGGTAAAATGATTGAGTACATACTTCATTTTTCTTTCCATAAAGTAGTATTCAAGAAATGCTTTTTGAACAAGTTAATGGAAGACTAGATTGTGTTATCTAATCTCTGAGTTATTATGGCCCAGGTATGTCTGATATAACAATGACAAACCTTTACAGTGATGACCTTGAGAAGTTATAGAATCATTTAAATGCAGTCCAGATTTCTCACTATTGAATGTGGATCTAATTGTTAGAAAATCTATACTCCACAAGTGATACATATGCCAATCATTTTTCTTTATATAATATCCATACAAGCAGAATACTCTGTGCTCAAAAGAGAGTAAGAAAAATTTTAATATACCTGAGTGACATGCTAAGTTTCTAGCTGTCTCCATGATTTTTCATGACATGAATTAATTTTAAAAGTCTATGTTTCGATAGGCTCACCTAAAATCTAGAAGATTCATAATCACAGTTTAAATAGCCTTGAAAATAAAAACTGACTTAAGTACACATAGATTAAGAAAATAAACATTTTAAATGACTCATACATATACCATTTGCTTTTTTGCTTTATTCTCGCATTCCATAGTTTTGAAGTTTCATGGATATTTGAATATATGGAATAATCATGTGCTGTAAGAAAAACTCTGTGTTGCCTTGGGTGGAATCTCACTAGGAAAGCAAAGTCAGAATCCAAATGGTTCTTTGGATGATGGACGCAAAAACGTTTCTAAAAATTAAGCTAGTCTCAATAGTTAAAGAAATAACGATCAGTTATTACTTTCTGGTGGCGTTTGTTTTGCATGCTAGGATATGTCAGCGTGGTAATGTCAAAGCAATGACTAGAAGGAAGAAATGTTAGAAGGGTCACTGGAAGATTTGTAGATTGAATAGGACTTCTGTAGCTCATAGATATATGCAAGAAATGACATCCTGAAATATTAGTATTTCTTATAGTAAATGTGATTGTTCTGTATTCATACAATATTAGTTTATTAAAATTTAATCACTAGAAACATTTGGGCTGATAAATGCCAAGTAATAAAGGTAAAACAAAGGATATTCTAAAAGTTTTACTCAACGAATGTTTAGAAGCAACTTTAAAACTGTTTCCATAAGAATACTTAAATTGCATTGCTTTCCTCTGAAAGGGTTACCTGTCCTAAAATAAAGAAAGAAAACCTAGGCATCTGAATCTGAATTCTACCTGGAATGGGAATGAGGTGCTGCATGTTTGATATTTTGCCAAATAATCAGATAAAAGGCAAGAGCAAATTAGAACTCAGGGTATCTTATCAGGAAGGTACTATATAATTCTGTTTCCCAAAGGAAAAGGCACAGTGTAGCAGGTAGGAATGTACTTCACCAGTTTGGTGTGGAAAAACACTCCCCCATGTGGTCTGGCTCATGAATGATATTCCGTTATTTGAAAGTGCATCACTGTTTTTAACCAGTCCTGTTTAACTGGTTTCTTTGTGGCTGGCACTATGCTAGGTCCTGGGCAGCACCAATACAGATATGACTTTGGTGACACACAGCTATAGACATCAGTATTTACTTTCTCCAAGAGCTGCTTTAAATGCATAATGATAAGCCAACTGGCTGACAGAATAAAGGCATTTAAAAAATAAAACCCAAATGAGATGTTATTAATAACCACAGTAGAGGAGCCGGGGTGGATATCCTTTCGGGCCCTAGGAACTTCAGCTTTCCAGCACCATGCTTCCTTGTGTCAGGGTGTCTGGGCAGGTCATTTAGAACAAAATTAGAGGGAAGGGAGGTGGAGATTCAGCTTTGCACCAGCCTCCTCTTTCTAGCTGGCAAAGATGACATCCTCAGTTCCTTCCAGGACAGGCCAGAGTAGGTAAATTCTCTAATGTGTGGCCCTGCTTCCATACTCTGTCTTTAATACGTCTCATTGGGTTTTGGCCTCTTCCATGTAGCACACAAGATGGACCAAATCTTTTCTTCACAATTTCAAAACTGTACCAGGGTTTTCTGAGACCATATCATGAATACCTCTGAAGCCAAGGTATTTAAACTACCTGCTACGCCTTCACTGTCATTTCCTATGTTAAATTGTGGTTCTTATCCAGTATATATCTTGAAAACTTCCACACATTTTCTTACTTTTATCACCTTTGAATCAAACAAGCTTTATAGAGACATATATAAAAAAGTCAAGTAGCTCTACAAGGCTTAAGAAAAAGAACGCCTGCCTTAGGTCTGATTCTTGCTCCCTATCAACAGACATTTGCAACTCTTTTAATTATTTCTTCAACAATTTCTTTCCAGAGTTCTAAAAAAATTTTGCTTATTTGATTATTTATTTTTTTTTAATTTCAGACACTATCAACTATTCCACATTATGGAAAGGATTTAGTTTCTTATCCCATTACCATTTTCTCTCTAGCTTTCTCTCATGTACATAAGCTACATCCTCTCACATACCCCCAGTATAGTTATGTTTTAAATTTTTGGATTGAGCAATATGAAATGTTCATACTCTTACTGTTGACAGTTAAGCCAATAGAAATCATGATTATTTCCTTTTAGGTTTTTCTTTTTTCTGTTCCCTTACTTCCTATGCATCTGTCTCTAAGCCCATCTAAACTTCCTGCCAGGAAATATCCTTAACATGGTCAACAGTGGCATTTATATCATTTTATCTTTCTTGCATTTTCCCATTCTTCTAGGACTGATTTCTCTCCAGGTTGGTGACAGAATTGTTATTCCAAATTCTCTTCATCATAATTTTTGGTATTTTCTTCATTTTTTCCCTGGATTACCAGATTTAGTTCCTTATTTTGGGAGGACAAAGCCTCTACTAGCTACTTCCTAAGACATTTATGAAGTTTTACATTTTAAAAGCTCCCATAGGGGCTGAAAATATATCTTTATCGTGCACTTAAAATTGTGTAACAGTTTGGTGGTGTGACAGGCAATATTATGTGTCAAAGTTGGAGGTCACTGGGGGCCATGTATCTGGTCAAATATTAATCTAGGAGTGTCTATGAAGATAAATCTGGATGAGAGTAACATCTGAATCTACAGACTGAGAAAAGGCAGTACCTCTCACCAATGTCCAGTCAACTGAACAGAACAAAAGGGCTGAGTCCTCCTGCCTGTTTTAACTGGAACAGCAGTTCTTTTTGGGCCTTTGTTGTCAGGTTCAATTATAAGCTCTTCTTGGGTCTTTAGCCTGCTTTCTGACTGCTTATCAGTTCTGATTGTTGGGCCTTTTAACTTGAACTAGAGTTACACCACTGACCCTTGTGTCCCCAGTTGCTGACTACAGATCTTGGGACTTCTCAGGCACTATGAACATGTGAGCTGATTCCATATCTCTCTTCTCTCTATCCTCCATGTCCCCACATACATATATAACATGTACACAATATCTTGGTTGTTTTGTGGGAAACCCTAACACTGATGGGTTATAGATAAACTTTTACAGGTATATAATCTTGCTTCTAGAATTCTGAATGCCTTACTCCATGTTTTAAGCTACTTCTTTTGCTGAGAAGTCTTAAGCCACTCAAATTACATATAAACTGTTTATTAATTTACTTCCAGTCTGGAAGCTTTAAGGACTTTGTCATTTTCTGGGGGCTCAGTTCCTGGACCTTCCTGGGTTCTGAGAAGGGACTGGAGTATTTTGATAGTTCCCCTCACTGTAGATTCAGAATTCAGCACTTCCTACTCTGCTAGATCTTTCCCCAGCCACCCAGCTATTCTTTGTCAATTTTATTGATATTTTTGTTTTCTAGCTTCTTTTCTCTTGAGCCTTTTGATGGTGTAGGTTTATGGCATTTTTATTCCTTTATTGTCATTTTAATGGATCCTTGGGAGGAAGTGCATAAAAATGTTCAAACTGCAGCCTAGAACTTTATACCGAAAGCAGTTTTGAACTATTAATGTAACTTTTTGAAAATAATTCAAGTATACTTAAGTTTCCAGCAACAGTTTAAACTGGTCCCATAGACACCACTAATATCTGATAGGAAAAACATGAAATGAAACTTAATTGACTAATTCTGACTCAGTTAAACACATGAAACTCGCAATCCTCTGTCCAGAGACTTACCAACTTTGTAATGTATGCAGCCTTCCAAGTCCCCAACGGTGATCCAGCCTTGTTTCTTCTCCACTTCTGGGTCATTGTGCAGTATTCTGTTTCTTAACCATGACAGATAGTAAACGCGTAGCTTATTCTTTTTTCCTGTTGCAATAATACAGCCTTAGTTTCTCTAATTGATCAGTGTATGACAATGGACAGCCTCTATTACTATAGTTTATATTACTGTAAAGACCACAACTGCAAGAATGCCAGAAGTTTTATTTAATTAACTCTCAAAAACAGGAATTTTAAAAGAAGATGGAAAAACAAGTTTGGCAAAGTTAATTGTGTTCACAAAATGAGACCAGACAAATTTAAGGTGCTGAGATCCCTGAAAAGAAATATCAAACTAAAACAAGATAGAAACGATGTGAGTTTGAGAAAAACTTAAAAGTTCCCTTTGATAAACCAATCTGGAGTTAAGAATTCACGGGGTGATAAAACATCTATGTAGTATGGAAGAATATATAAGGAGCAAGATTTAATATACATGGTTAGATTGGCGAATACTAGAGAAGATGGTGGCTTTTGGGTGCTCTTCTTAAGTAATGAGAAATTTAGGCCTGTGCATTTTATTTCTTGGCTATTAGTTTCTTTCTCCCTGGCTTTAAAGGTGTTTTGCTTTAGAGATATGATATATACCAGAAGAGAATTGATTAGAGGTTTGCAGAATGGATATGATAGAAGAGTGCATTCAGAATCTAAAAAGGCAGTCATGGTGTAGTTACTATGCACATTTGTAAAGGATGCTGGCAATAAATGTTGCTCCTGATAGTAGCACTTAGAAAGAAGAGAGTGTCTCTTTGTTTCAAATTCAATGCTTAGGTTCAATCAGTGTTGATCTTATGGAGGAATTTGATTTGTCCAGTTTGGCAAAAGAATTTGAGGTGCCACTGAACTACTGTGGATCAAGGGTGATTCAAAAATCTCTTGCTCCTATTTTCATTTTCTCTTTCTGCATATATGCCTTATAATAAAAGGAAACAGTTACACTCTTAAGAGTGAGAAGGTGTCACTAACATCACTAAGACGGAATTTTCTGGTAGCATTTCTACTTTTGGGAGGTGACTGGCAGATGTGTGGTTTTAAATTAGATTCAATCAAGAAAGTAATTAGCCAGTAAAACAGACTACACAGAAAACTTAAATGATAATATAAGAAGAATTTACTTGGTTATCTCTTATTTGGGAAGCATAAAACTCTACACATTCAGTGGAAAGGCAAAATCAAGAGCGAATTATAATCCAAAATAAAGAAAATTTCTCAAAATAGAAGCACAGCTGAAGAGTTCAACTCTCTTCAAGGTTCAATCCAGAAGCCCCGAAGTGTCTCTTCATGTAATATTTCTTTTAGGAAAAAGAAAGTGGCGGAGTATGATAGTAATGATTCTCCTACTCTATACTCTTTTCATACTTCACCAAATGGTCCAGCTACACTTCCTGAAACATCATCAGTGGACTGTTAGCAAAAGTTGTGAGAAGAGAGACAGGAGACATTTCTGCTAAGTGACTTTCTTTCTGAAGAGCCTGTATTTTGGTATTCTACATCTCAGATTAGATGGCAATAACAAAAGTACAGATGTGTTAAAGTCTTGACCATGGTAAATGCCTATTTGTTTATCTCTGTGTCTATGTATCTATCTACTATATCTATCTGTTCTGTATCTTTCTTTTGTGGTACATTTCTTCCTCATTCATATTTAACACAGAGATAATCTTCCCTTTGAAGGTCAGAATCTCCAGCACTACAACAGGATGATTTTACTCAAGTGATGTTGCCCTAATTCATTATTTTGTTCAGAGGCTGAGAATGGCAAAGCTTATAATTTCTTCACAAATGAGGTAATCTCTTTTTCTACCTGTGCAGACCTGCAGCCTGGTAACATACCTGATATTGTCACAAGAACATTCAGTCCCTCTAGCACATCCATCTGCTGAAATCGCCTTCTGTTGATCAGATTGTACACTTTGCCTTGCCCACTTCGGTCCAAAAGCATCAGGCCATTTTCAGTTCCCACCAGAAGGTTTACACCTGCAAAGTTAAGAAGTGCCCTAAGATTGACTTTTTATGGACTTTAACATGCTGTATTTGGGAGCCCTGTAAAACTTAAGATATTGTTCTTTACAAATATAAACAATGAGCAAATAGGTATTACAGTAAGGAGTATAGAATTTGAAGTTCTTAGTAATTAAATCACTGTCCCTCAGGTAATGGAATTATAGTTTTCTTTTATAAAGTGGTAGCAGCATTCATTACATCTGGCAATTCACCACCTAATACAGAGAGGTCTTCTCAAGAGGAACCTTAGGCTCAGCTGTGATGGCAGCACAATTTGACTTTATTCCCTTCCTCGAACAAGCAAAACCTGTTTCTTGACTCTTCCTGTTTATATAATCTACTTCTTTCTTTACCCAGTGGCCATCCCCACATTTATTCATGCAACAATTTCTCAGGAACTTAACCTGTTCACCTTCGATATGTGACAGTTCCAGTTTCATACCCAAAGCTCTTTTTCCTTTTCACACTACAATTTCACTATCATATGTCTCACACACTCAATGGTTCTTCTCGGTGAGCGAATTGATAATCCAGTGCGAGAGAAAGCATTAATAGATGTATAGTCACAGAAACACTAACTTCAAGCTACTTCTGGGGTTCCAGGATAACCCACGTGCCATATAGTAATTCTTAATTACAAAACCTCTGGCAGGTATATGGTCTTGTCTGGATAGTAATAATCCCAAAGTTCATATTTGAATAGATTCATTATCCACCCACTGAGACATACACAACATAAGAGCTTCACTGGGCAATGGTCTGTGTTCACGAACATGCAGCACTTGAACCTCTCATATTTCTACCTTCTGAAAACATGAGTGTCCACTTTTTCATCCACATGTTAAGTTTCTCAATATTAAGTCTGGCTGTCTTGTTCTCATTTCTCTCTCTCTCCTCTCCAGAGGACAGAGCCATCACACTGCTCATAAAATGTTCTTCAGGCTTCCTCACTAACATATCAAATTCTTTTAGCCCTTTAAAATAATAATACTCTAACCCAGGCCTAGTATTTTAGATAGACACACAGGGGCTACATTTTGATCAGGCCATGAAGTTTACAGTAACACAGACCAGGACTTTCATTACTATCATACTTGTCATACTTATACTAAGTCTGAGGTCAGTTAAAAGCTGTAGGTTGAAATTTTGAATTAAAAGGTAAGTCTGTAATTTTTTTTTGTTTTATATGATAGCATGACATAGGGAATTCACTAAAATGGGCTGGACTAGTTTTTAACTATAAAACTCTCTCTTTGCAGGATCATATTATACGGATCACAGAGACAGAATGGGAGGCAGATCACACAGGGATGGATACACAGTGGCTAAGTATTAAGTGGTAGCTAGTTCTGTAGATATTATCCTTGGTAGTTCGGAATCAGCTCTTTCTACATATTAAACTGGTTTTGGTCTTTCCTGAGGCCAAGATGGTCCCAAGTCAGGTCCTAATATCAATGAATCAGTGTTTTCTGAGGATAAGATCCACAGGATTATGACGTTTCAGGGTCAGTTCATTAACAAATAGAGAAAAAAGTAAAAACATACCCCACAGAGCTGCACAAAGTATTTCTGAATTGAATCGTTTCTTGTATTTTCTGATTTCTGGTGTGTCACTATGAGGTCGAATGTTGGTTGGGTTTACGTTTACCACAGAAATCTTTCTTGCTTCATTGAGTTTGGCCTGTTCTTGCCTAAGGAGTTCGCTAGTAAACAGAGCTTTGAGAAAAAGAATCAGAGAAATCAATGGCATTTTGGAAAGATAACCAGTGGAGATTTGGAGAAGGGACTTCAAAACACTATTATTGCTATCTCTTTGGTGTACATTAAAGGTACAAAGACTCTAAAACTATACTTACTTTATACTTTTTTTTTAGTAGGATAAAGTATCAGTTATTCTTAGATGCAGTATTTTAATTATTAGTAAAACAAACTTAGAGACACTACTTAAATGGTTTAGAAAATTAATATTAATCTTACAAAATCCCCAACTCTTGTAAATATATACAAGAAAGATTAACTTTTTGAAATTCTACATTATCTATTGGCAAGCAGATCTAACTGGCTTTAATGAGTAGTGAATTGCAGAAGTCCAGAAAGCAAGACTATCCTGAGAATCAGCCACACTTTTGTGGTAAGAAGCACACACATAAACTCAATACAACTCAACACGCATTTATTAAGCATATATTGCGTGCATAGCATTGTACCCAGAAGTTGTTTTTGGGAAATATGTGGTACGTTCAGAGATTGCTGAGGAGCAGCTTTTCCTATGGTCCCTGGATACCTCTGGGTTCCTATCAGAAGCAAAACAGGGAAAAAATAGGAAAGATGGACAATGGGAAACAAAAGAAATTTGTTTTAGAAATCCTACATAACTAATTCTTCCTTTTAAGACAGAGTCCAGGCATTTGGTGGTTGACTAGTGAACTAGTGTTAACTTTCCTTACCAGGTCACCCAAAAAGGAAATCCAGTGGTTTCTAAGATGCTGGGGTCTTTTAAATTACCTGCAGCTGATGATTCTTCATCCTCCTCATCTTCATCAGTGGGAGATGTCTGGTATACTCTGGGGTCCACAAAGGGAGTGAAGGAGGTTTTCGTGCTGCTTCCCATGCCATACTAATAAGCAAGAAGATGAAGAAGAGCAGATACATAAATACTGCAGGAACCAACAATGCGAACAGTATTTTGCTTAGGCTTTACAGTGATTTCAGACTCCTTGATTTATTCAGCTGTTCAGGTTCTAACTCCCTGCCTCAAAGTATGCGCCTCTTACCGATTTCTCCTGATACTAGTTACCCACTAACCATTGTGCATTTGTTGGGCCTTATCAATGATCAGACTCCAAAAGCTGCAACAAAAAAATTGTATTTTGGGTGACATATGGTTCCTTAGTATCTATAGAGACACTAGGGAAAAAGACTTTATTTCTACTCTTTTTGGGTTTTTTGAGACAAGGTCTTGCTATGTAGGTCAGACTGGTCTTGAACTCACTAGGGAGCCTAGGCTGGCCTCAAACTCATGGTAATCCTGCTGTCTCAGCCATTTGAGTGCTGGGATTACAGGCATGTGCCACCAGATCCAGCTCTTACTTCTACTTTTAAGTAAAAGCAATCTCACATTAATCCAATGGTTTTAAGAAAATGAGACACAATTTGTAATCTACTTAGTAAGCATTACTACATATAAGAACTTCAACATGAACTCAGTCAACCCAGGAGATCCCTTCTTGGAAGGGAGGCCTTTTGTCTGTCCCTCTACTCTGACCTGGTGATGCATGTGGGTAGTGTTGGTGTCAAAACCTTTAAAATCTTTAAGGATGATTTAATTTAGGAAATGATTTTTCCTTTCCATGAAGATGTCTTTAAAAGGATGCATATATAGTATTTATATTCTATACTTGAGGACTTCGTGAAGCTCTTAAGTTTGAGGTTAATTTATTTTAAGGGCTTACTTAAAATTTTAGTCTCAAGGGCTTGGATAGCGCCATGAAGTCATGAAATCAGAAGTAGACTAAGGAATATTAAACTCAGTGTCAGAGCTTCATGTCATAATATTTGAATTCTATGTTTGAATTTTGCCAAGAGCTACAATAGCTATCTTTTCTCCTGTCAGTTTTTTTTCATTTCTGTTATATTCAACTTTTGAACATCACAAACATACCTATATTCAGCATATGTCCTTTTGGGGAGGGATAAATATCATTAAGTAAGGGTTTTTGTATTGTCTTTAGGTTTTTATTTTAAAAATGTACCAACATTTTAAGATTTCATGACTTCAAGGTGCTACCCAAGCCTTTCAGACAAAATTGTTAAGCCATTAAAATACATTATCCTGATATCTAATATCTTCATGAAATCCTCAAATATAGTATGTCAACACTGTGTATGCATCCTTTAAAAGAAATCATCATGAAAAAAGAAAAATCAATTCCTAAACATACAGTGAGAAGAAACACAAAGATCCAATTGATTCAAGATTTCCCTTCCACCATTTGAAATAAAACTAATTGCATCCTCGTCACAGCATGACACAGAAATTTTTATACATATTGTCTCCTTTGCCCCTTAGAAGTCTAAGAAGGAGGCAGATAGGAACCAATATTCTCATTTAGAGCTACGGCAGCAAAAGAAATTTAAACCAGGTTCTCCTGGTACTGACAGAGGTGTTCGGGCAGAAAAATGCCGTCTACACTGCATGAAACTACAGTTGGAGGTTGTACTTTTCGATAGTTTTCTGTGTTCTTTTCCTTCATGTGTGTGAAACTCTCTCTGCTTTATAATATTAGAAACTAAAGGGTGCCTCATAAAAATTCACTGTGTGGGACAATATAAAAAACACCAGTACATATGTTTATAAACATGCATAGAACCTAATTTTGATGCAAAAGACTGTTCATGAAACATGACTGTCCCCTGTGAACTCATTTAACTGGTGGATGCCATCTCTGAGTCCCAATAGGCTGTATTCCTTTAGAATTTTTTCTGGAACGGTATGAATACATGAAAAAAAGTATCTTATTTCTTCTTACTCATGCAATTTGGAGTTTAGCACTTTTTAACACCGTATTATTAATTTTCATTTTTCAAAAAAATCATTTCAACTTCATTTTACAGTAATATCTGGATTCATGAAAACTTACTTGTTTGTAAATAATTTGGTTCTCAAACAAATGTTTGACAAATCTTTGCTTCCGTTTGCAAACTCTGCATCAGGTTACAAACATGACCATGGCCATCTTCCCCACACAAACACAAACACAGTCACTTCCCCCAAATTGAGAAAGTTAAATTTATAAACTGAGGTACTACTGTATTTGACAAACTTAGTTTCACTAAGTTAAGGTAAACATGCATCTCGACTGTTAGCCTGAAAGCTCAATAGTTTGAACTATCATTGGCTCAGAACATGAAAAGGTTCAAGTTCTGGTTTGTGACATAGAAGACTCAGTCACAAGCTAGCTGTGTTCTCTGGCCAACTCACTTAACCTCAGAGGGCCTCGGTAATGTCATCTGGGAAAGCAGGTTGGTGCCGCATTGCTCTGCATCTGTCAGCTAGTGAGCAAATACATAAGCAGCTGCACAATGGAAACAATTACACATGATTAAGCGAGTTTGGCACAGCTTATTCTTGAAGACAGCAAACTTTCAAAGCCCATGAAGGAGAACAGCACAGTCCTAGCTGTAGCTGGCACCTACTTCAGTCCCAGAGTCCATCTCCTGGGGATGGGTGGAAACACGTCCCAGGCCCTCGGTTGGGGTCCCAGCTGGGGAGTGGCTCTGCTGCACCAGGTCAGGGAGATTGATGTGCCCAGCGAAGCCATTGCTGTCACTGTGGCCAGATCGCTTCTTCTCTCCAGCTGTCTGAGGGATACAATACATGGGGACCATTAGAGAGTGAAGGAAAAGGTCACAGAGTAACATCATTCCTCACACAGAACAGGGACCCCAAACTGATCCACAGGGCATGGGAAGGTAACATTGCAATTTCTATTTTACCTAAGGAAAGAAAAAAGAAGCTTCGCTAAATTTAGTAGAGGAATATTAATACATTTGCATGAGGGCTGTTGGGAGTCACATTTGGGGGAGGGGTCCCCAATACTTAGGTTGTTTCTCGGCTATTGTGAAAGGCGTGCTATGTACATAGGAGTGCAGATGTTGCTAGTGATTTCATTTCTTTTGGATTTATATCCAGTACTAGATATTTAGCTTTTTGAAGAACCTCCGTATTCTTTTTTTTCATAATGGCTACACTTCTACCAAGAGCCTGGAAGGGTCCCCTTTTCTTCACATTTTCACTAGCACTTATCCTTTTGACAATAATCATTCTTCCTGGGGTGAAGTGCGGTCTCACTGTGGTTTTGATTTGACTTTCTGATGACTGCTAGTGATGTCAAGTATCTTTTCAAATTCCTGCTGGCCATCAGTATGATGTCTTTTTAGACCTACTGTCCACTTTAAATTGTTTTTTTGCTATTGAGTTTTTGTTTTTGAGTTCCTTACAGAAGGACTGATGGTATGGTTAAACTTAAATTAGTTCAGTAAAAGACACATTGCCCTCTAGTCCTCTTCACTTAGAACACACTTATCAAATCATTCTTGGCACTTTCTGAAGCATTTCTGGAAATACTCTTTCTTGAATGTCTCTATGAGATGTGAGTAAAAAATACAGCATGTATGTACCAACTTCATACAATGAATGTAATCATTATGTATTGCAAATATGTACTAGTAAACTTTAAAACTAAAAAAAAATATACTAAGTGCTTCTGAGCGTCATCCAGTGGAAAGACAGGCTTGTACAATATTATAGTATGTGCTTATCCATCTTGTTTACCAGATCTGGTACTGTGTGACTGCTGGCCCTTTTCCAAATTCAAAATGACCAATAAAGGCAAACATTTTGAATCAATTCAGGACATTGAGGCAGCCACAGCAGAGTAACTAAAGATAGTCATGAAGAGGACTCCAGAGCTGCTTCAGAAGGTGGCAAGAATGATGACATAAGTGTGATGAAATGAGGCGAATATTTTGAGGGGGTTAAATTGTAATGTGTCTTTTACTGCAATAGCTTTTAAAAATTTAAATATTTACCATATTTGCCAACATACCTCATATAATCTGGATATCCACTCCTTGTCAGATGTATAGTTTGCAGATATATTTTACTCTATTTTGTAGGTTGTCTCTTCACTGCTGATTGTTCCCTTTGCTGTATACAGTCTTGCAACTCTTTAACATGCACTAGCTCACAGAAGACTCTAAGAGCAGACCTGAAGTAATTATTTCCCTTTCTGCTTTCTCTTTTTTTCAATCATCAACTACCCTTTTGAATGCCTACCAAATGTAAGTTGTGTCAAAAGCGAAACAGCTAAGAGGGAGGTGCCATATTCTCTATCTTCTCTGTAGCTGCTATGGGCAAAAGTTCATTCTTTTCTTTTGACCATCTCCCTGTGTGACTTCTTGGTTTCAGAGCCTGTCTTGGCCTTACAGCTAGTTTTGTTCCTTCTACTGTCATGTTATGGTTTGTGTCCTGATGCGCCCCCAAAACCTCATGTAGTCATGGGGGCAGGCTCCTACAGTTTGTGATTTATTCATGGTCCAGTGCTTATGGTGTGAATGCTACACCAACCTTCGAGTGGGTGGCCATGTACAGTATGAGGAACAGAAAGAGTCTTCTCTCTGTGCTCCTCCCTTTTTTGCTCTTGTTGCTTCTGCTGTCATCCACCACCATAAACTGTTGCTCCTCTGCCATGCACTGTCTTGGAACCAGGTGATTATGGACTGAAAACCTCTACAAACTGTGAGCTAAATAAATGTTTCCTTCCTTAATTTTGGATGTTGAGTATTTTGTCTCAGCAGTGAGAGCAAAGTAACCAACACAGAATTTGGTACCAGAGCAGTCAGGTCATTGCTGTGACTACGTCTGACCATGTGATTCAAGAGCCTTTAGGAATGGCTTGTAGGAAGAGTTCAGAAAGCTTCAGAGATGTCGCCTGAAAGAGTAGTGCTAGAAAACCTTAGGCTGTTCTATGTGGGTGCAGTATACTCACTCTAGGATAAGTGGCCTACATACAATATAAGGGACAGAAAGAGTCTTTTCTCTGTGCTCCTCATTTTGCTCTTGCTGCTTTTGCTGTCTTCTGCTGCCATGAACTACTGCTTTTCTGCCATGCCACACTGCCTTGGAGCCAGATGATTACGGACTGAAACCTCCACAAACAGTTAACTAAATAAAACTTACCTTTCTTAATTTTGGATGTGAAGTATTTTGTCTCAGCAACAAGAGAATAGTAACCAACACATGTTGGAAAGTAAAATTAGGCATTTTTTGTTACTGTTGTTGAGAGATAAAGCAGACTCAGAGGTTTCTGAAGGGAAAGCTGATGTTATGAGGGGGAGCTGAGAAATAAATGGAAAGCCTAGTATCTTCTGTTTGTTGGAAACACTGATCCTGGACTATAGACTGTCCCAGAGCAGGCCTCTTCTGGATTCATTATGTCACAGTGATCATCTAGAGCTTGTATTAGTGCCTTTCCCCAGAGTTGAACATTTCATCTTGTAGATGACATTCAGGGAGTTCAATCTTTATTTTATTATCCTCAATTTTTTTGCACTCTGGGAAATGTTTTCTTTCTTGTAACTTGTACTCAAATGCTGAAACTCTTTATGACATTTCCCAGCAGTTTCCCAAGAGCATAAAGAACACCTCGTCACTGCAGAACTTTTCAGTCTCTCTTGTGTCAGTATTTTTCTGCCTCAAGCCCAAACCTGGTGCAGATACATTAGTTAACAAAGAAAGACTTGCAGAGGATAACCAGAGGAAGCAGGCCAGACATTGCAAAGCCCGAAGCAGTGCTTCTAAATCTGCCTACTTCTGAGTCATCATCGCTTGTTTCATTGAGTCAGCACCATCTTATGGAATATCTTCTTTGAGCCAGGTACCAGGAATTCTATTGAGAATACAAATATAAATGAGCAATGACCCCGTCCTCTAGGATTTTATTAATGTAATCTCAACTCTGTTTCTGGTCTTCATGTCTTCACCATCCCCATGTGGACCAGCACTAACAGGTTCTGCACACCCACCATTGTCAGTAGTCTACTAAATACATTATATACAACATTCCACTGAATCTTTGTTAGGGTTTGGATCTAGAATGTTCCCCAAAGACTCACATTCAGTAGTGAGGCATCTTGAATGATCATGCAGTGCTAATCATCCACTGGTAAGCTCAACAGCTAACTGTGCTGTTACCAGGGAGGGCCTGGTGTTCACTGGGGGCATGACTTGGAAGGGTTTATTTTTGTCCCTGCCTTCTCTGTTCTCTCTGTGCTGTGTGGATGCCATTAGATGAACTGCTGTCTTCCATTAGATTCTTCCACTATGGCCTTCCTTTTTTTAGCTGGGCAACGATGGATTATCCTTAAACATCATGGACTAGCTTCCATTACTTGTATGTTACAGATGGAAAATGAGAAGTCAACTAACTTGTCTCTAAGTGGCAAAATCAGGGTTTAAACCTGGATTGTCTGTTGACAGAGCCCAGGTGCTCTGTATTGTATTGTTGTACTAGAGAACTCTATTCCTGGCTGTAGCTAATTATATCCTGAGCCAAGTGGGACCAGATTCCCAATAAAATTTGACATCAGATCTGAGAGATACTGGTTAATATCTGTCAACTTCTGAACTAGGATGTAGTGATTATCTTGCCATGAAGAGAGGACAGACAAGAGTACTAACATGTAGAGGGAGAGAAATCAGGTCTGTGGGGAAAGAGAAGTAGTAGCAAAGTGGAGGAAAACCGAGGTGAGGGTAAGGAAACACAGCAATGACATACGTGACGAGATGCTTGCGCTCTTGTCACTTCGTAGTTTCTAGCTCTAGCTCTACATAGGGACCCAGCTCGCTTTCTCCTTATGGGTTGCTTCCACAAAGTACTTCTGAATATTTACTCCCCTATTTCTGATATTCATCTACTTTTTATACTTAAATTGTACTAAGTGGGCTCTTTTTCTTATTTGCAAACAAATAAGCCTTCATGATGACAAGCTAGTGTCTTGGTGCCAAGCTAGTGTCTCCAGTGTTTGGGACTGTCAAACACTGGAGAGATACCAGATGATTTGAGGAAGGTGCTATGCACAGTGACCCACTGAATCTCAGTAGAAACTTCTAGGAAAAGGAGAAGACTAAACCAGACCCACAGGGGCATGCTGAGTAAGAATAGGCAGTGGTGTGAAGGGAGGACGGCACTGTGGCCAGCTGGCAGAATGGAGCTGCTGTAGTATGTTTCAGAACTAGGGGAAAACACTGTCCAGTTAAACTATAGAACCGGGAAAGTAGAACTTCAGGGACAGGAACCGAAGGGACAGGAGTGTGTATGGGGATGATCTGTGCATCTGACAAGATACTGGGTAGCAGTGCCAGTAAGATCCTGTAGAACTATCAGGGCCACTCACATGAGAATGACTCGAATGAGTTCTTTTTGTTTTTGAGACAGGGTCTTGCTATGTTGCTCAGGTTGGGCTTGAACGCACTATGTAGCCCAGTTTGGACTCCAACTCACAGCAGTCCTCCTGCTTCACTCTCCCAAATGCTGAAATTACCTCCATGTACCACAATGCCTAGATTATGAGTGAGTTCTTGAGGTTCACCTTAGAGAACTGAAATAATAATACTCTATAAGCTAAATATTAGTATAATGAATTTATATTTTTTATTTTGTTAGGAATATGATTTAACCTATATTTTTCTTTTAATATACAGGGTTGCCTTGGTTTAATATGCAGGGTTGCCACAAATCCTAAAACAAACTTAATTTGTTTTAGGGTTTGGGGCAAGATAGCTGCATCTGTGTTTGTGTAGGGAAGATAGCTTCATCACTTTTCTTGTTGCTGAGACAAAATATCTGACACTCAGTGTTAAAAAAGGAAAGGTTTATTTAGCTTACAGTTTGTAGAGGTTGCAGTCCATACATAGCTGGCTCCAAGGCAGTGTGGCAGAGCAGACAGGGAGTGTAGAGGAAAAACAGTTCATGGTAGGCAGGATGCAGTAAAGCAAGCAAGAGATGATCACAGCCCTTTCTCTCCCTTATATATTATTCAGGCTACCTAAGGTGAGTGGTACTCCCAGCCTTAGTCTTGGTGCCCTTGAGCGTAGCACTGTGTCATGAATCAATTCCAGGGTCACCCAGTCACCTCTGAAAAAGCTCTGCCAATGACCACATGAGGCTTTAGGGGAACATGTAGACCCAAACCATAACAGTGGCCAGGGTTGTGTTTTTCACCTGATGAGGAGTTTGTGAAAGGAAGTAAAGTTGTGCTGAATGTTTTTGTTTGTACACTGAACTGTTTGCAAATAGAAGTGTTCATGAACTGAGGTATTACTGTATACACTTTTAATGAATTTTTATCGTAAAGGCTTATGCAGTATTTAATTTTATGTATCAACCCAACTGAGCCATAGGTACCCAGATTAAATAAATATTACTTCTTAGGTGTGCTTGTAAGTGGTTCTGGGAATAAGGTTAGTCTGCACTGGAGGAAGTTAATAAAGTAAATTATCATTCCCATGTTGGATGAACATCAATCAATTTCCTGAGGACCCAAATAGAACAAAAAGTAGAGGAAGAAAAAACTGCCATCTCCAACTTTTTTGCCTCAATACCTGAGTTGGAACATCTCCTCTAATCTTTACCTACCAGCTGGGATTTAGACTACAAGCTTCCCTGGGTCTTCAGCTTGCAGATGACTTCTCATGCTCCATAATCTTACGAGGCACTTTCTCTCTCTCTCTCTCTCTCTCTCTCTCTCTCTCTCTCTCTCTCTCTCTGCCTGTCTCTCTCTCTCTTTCTCTCTCTCTCTGTTACCCCTCTCACTGTACCCCCACTCTTAAATCTCTCTCCATATAGAAATATTTTGTTCTCTGCAGAACCTAGACTAAGATAGTCTGTTTATTTTTACAGGTTGTTATTTTAAATGCTCGCAATTCGGAAAGACCAAATTTGGAAATCTAGAGGACAAAATATAAGGGTCCTTTCAAAAGATTGTATTCATATGGGATACTGTTGAATGTGATTTTTCAAAGTGACTCATTGTGGTTATACAATCTTGGAGTGATTCCAATAATATGAAGTCATTCTGATGTGGCTGGCAACAAATGTCTACTTGGAGGTACTGACTCCATTATAAAAAGTCAGACAAATTTTAAAGTACATTAGAAATTGAAGTTCTTTTATTTGGAGTTAAAGAGTAACTCAGTTCTGAACATTCTCCCTTGTGTTTTCCCAAGTGGCGAGCTCTAGAGCTGGGAGACCTGTACATTTTGATGATGAAGTACCATTCGCCATGTGGGAGATTTATATTCCTGTACTACACAATGTCAACTTCAGCAGTCAAGTCCATTTCTCATTCCAGGCATACGTGAAAGGATTCTTTAAAGCCTACTTGAAAGATCTGAGGTGGCCATAAAATGAAATTCTAGAAAGTTGTTTTGTGAATTAGTCTTCTAGTTATAGCTCCGCTGTCAATGATTACTTCAAGGACTGTATTTATTTCCAAACTACAGTTCCTTCCTCTCTTACAAAAATGAGAAATCTTCTGCCTTTCTGCAGAGCAAATTTTTTGTCTTTAGGGTTTCCTTTCTGTCATTAGGGTTTCCCATAGTCTCCTGGCTGAAGAGCAGATTGATAAGACAATAAATACATGTTTATGTTTCAGAGTGAAGATGGGTTGTGATAAGAAATGAAGGAGAATTAAATTTATGGGGAGTGAAATAAAATAAAATAGGTAAAGTTTACTGAACTTTTATATTTATTTACTCATTCATTTAATGTTCTAAACCATTTTATAAGTCCTCTGCCATTACTTACGATATTTTATACTATTATTTATGACAAAACAGGTGCAGGGAGAGGTCAGGTAACATTTGACCAAGGCTAACTGCCCACTATTTCCCTTCTAAATAAAGACCTCTCCAGCATGCATGTTGATGATGAAGAAGAAGAGGACAGAGTTTAGTTTGTCAGGATGCTGTTGGTTGGCACAGATGCATGGGAAGCTATTTGACCTTGGAAGGGCAGATGAAAGACCTCATGTGCCTCTCACCAAAAGAAATCATGTTTCTGGAGTTTAAAAATCACTCAAAGAACTAAGATACCTTTTAAAGCAGATATGTATGTTTCTTTATTCTTTTTAAATGTTAATTTAATGAGATAAGATGGTACTATTTCTTGGAACTACGGGGCATTTTCCACATGAGATTCTTGAGGATAAAACCATGCGGTGAGGGAAGGCTAAAATCCCTGATGGTATTCAGAGAGACCATTCATTTCTGCTTTCCTGTTGTAGGAAACATCTGGGCTTGCCATTTTATATCCTCAGGCTCAAATTTTATATTCTGCTTTGCATAGTCCTTACTGAAGAATTTAGACTAATATAATTAAGTCACACTGCAAAATCTTAGAAGGACACAGGAAAGAAACTAGTAGACAATTAAAATCATTCAACCATGTAGAAGCACAGGTTTTCCCCTCATTCCCAAAGCCTAAAATACATGCATAAGCATTCTCTGTAAAAGCTCTAATATAAAAACCACTTAAGAAAAGCACTTGCTCTACACAGTTGTTATATCAACTTACCTCTCTAATCATCAGGGTTCCTTCTCTTGAAATACTACTGCTAAAAGTGTCTGCATGAGAGGTCTCCAGCCCATGTGTTCCCACCATTCCCATATTGTACTGCTCATTGCTTCCTGGAGCTCCAGTTGGTCTGAGATAGGAAGAAACAATATTCATGGTGATGCATATTTAGCAAATACCATTTCCTGTCCATATGTAGTGAAATACACATAAATACACACAAAATCTATCACTTTAACTATTTTAAGTGTACATTTAAGTAACCTAAGTACATTCCATATTAATTTTAGTTCATTAATGCCTAAACTGGGGTTCTACTCCTGACCTATTCTCTCTGTAGCTGGAGTGAGCTGAGCTTGCTGCTCTCCATGGAAGACACCACAGGGGTCTACCAGGCTCCAGAGCACCTCCCCCTACTCTCACTTCCTCTTTGGGCCGCAGTCACCTGATCTGCATTGCACCTGTTGTTTCTACTGCCCCAAATCTTTTCCACCCGGCTTTTGACTAGTCTCCTCTCATTCACCTGGCTTCATCTTTTTTTTTTTTTAATTTAAAGAGAAAAAAGAAAGGAAATTAAAAAACAAAGCAGTAAAAGGGTACAAGTAATACAGAATTTCAAGAAAAATATATACAGTAAGAAATCACTAGTTTTATAGGTTACATATTGTCATCTTAGAAACAGTTGTCCAAATTATAAAATTAAAGCATATAAAGTGGACATTCATACAGTGAGATTGCAGACAGTTTCGTTCAATGATCCAACAAAAGCTCAGTAATATGGTTTTCCATCCTACACGCTCAAACATACATGCAGTTATATACCTTAGACCACCTTCCTTTCCTCTCTTTTTTACAATGACAATTACACTTTTTGGGTTTTATTACTCCCACAGTTCTTATTACTTTTTTTTGAAGAGAATAAAACCAAATGTGACTAAACCAAACAGAGTCAGAACAGAAGGATGGGCATAGTACATGATGCAAAGGTAATCAAAAGTGGTTACCATTGTGCCTCTTGCTATTTTTAAAATGAGTTGCCTATATCATCAGGTATAATAGAATTGGTCAAAACAGTACAGAACAAGACCAATAAAGCCTACACTGGAGACCATACAGGACTTCAAAAGAAGATAATAGTCAAACTATAATGGGCAACATAGTAAATCTTATTGCCTTCAAAGTGGTTGCCTATACCCTTAAACTTGATATTATCAAACAAAATAGAATATAGTAAAATCAGACAGAATAAGATGGGAAGAGCAATACTGGGGTTCAAGTCAGGTTAATAGGAAAACAAAAAAGCTACTATAATATATCCCACTATGCTTTCTTTGAGAAGCTTTTGCTTTCAACTGTTTACATCTTATGTCACTTGTCCCTCTTTTTCTATTGATCCTTCTTTTTCATCACAATGCATAATTCTTTGTCTTATTCTCTCCTCATGTTTTCCTTCTCTGTCATTAGAATGTGTTTGTGAAACTAGATTTCTTATCTTTACCCATCATTTTGTGTCCAGGACCTAGTACAGAGTTTAGTACATAGCAGGAATACAAAGAATAATTATTAGATAATGAGGCTTCTACTACTTATAAAGAAATATCAATTAACAACATTCAGGTTCATTCTGGATCATTGGAGAATCGGTGAACTGGGGTATTTAATCCAAATAGTACTTAGTATTTCTAAAAACCTTAGAATTAACCCTATATGGTGGTATATAGTTTCCCCCCTCCATTATTGTGCTGAAAATATTATAGGAAAAAGTAATGGGATGTGGATACACTTCCTGGGAATACAGACCAACTTTCCTGAATCCTGTGGCACAAAGCACACATCAGGACTCCTTAAGAGCCGACTATCCACATAAGCTTCCTGGACCACCAATAATCTGCAGTGCTATAAGTGCACAACACAGGAATTCTCAGATTTAGAAAGTTTGGAAAGTGAGAACCAGCTAGGTGATGTGGTTTCAATTTTTATGATTTCTGGTTACAATGCTATTTCACAATGCTATGTTACCAATACAAGAGACTGAACCCAGGGAGCACTGAGCTACATTCCATGCCTTTTTAAAATTATTTTTTATTTGGAGATCGACTCTTTTTAAGTAGTGTTGGCTGACTCAAATCTGTGATCTACTCGCCTCAATGCTAAAATAGAACAAAAAGTATAGCATTTTGCCCTTTAAAAAAATAATTAAAAAAAGCAAGATGTCAAAGCTTATTTTATTTTAGGTGTATTAACTATAGTTTTAAAAAATCATTTTATACTTTAATTGTTTTTAAAATATTTGAAAATATCTGTGGTCTTTTGGATCCTATTAAAGTCTAAGAACCTGATGAAAGATTCACTCCAAGAAGCAAGAAATAGATCAGATTTATGTCATCTTTGGAGCAGAGCAGACATAGTTCAAGGATTTTCATCTGAAACACAGTAAAAACAATGAAGGTGAGTCCAGAGAAGGAAATGTATAACAGGGTATTTATATAGAAATTACTAAACTGGAGCAGTGGATGGAGTTAATCTAAATTGGCTAGAACTGATGTGTTTGGGAAGAAATTTTAACCAAGGATTTTATTTTTAGTATATCAGCCCAAGAAAGGATGTATTAATAGTGTTTCAAAGACATAGAAAAAGAAATTGTTGCAATTATTTCTGGCATATTGATAGATTAGAAAATCACAATAGATCTCAAAACTATGATTTCTTTACTCATTTATTTGAAATTTAATTTTATTTGTATCTTTCTTTAGTTGTGTTTAATTCTTATTTGAGACAAGATAAGGTAAAGCCAATAAATCAGTAACTGACACAAATAACAAGGGCCTTCCAGATAAGGAATCCTTTCTCTTCCTTGTCAGTTAGCCATTTTTTTTTTTTTTTTTTTTTTTTTTTTGCCACTGCCAGGTGTTCAGGTTGACTTGGTGGCCTCTGCCAGGTTGACACTGTACAGTCTGGTTCTCCATTACCACAGAGAATCCCATTAAATCCAGCAGGTAAGGATATTTTTGGCTTCTCATCCTTTCTATCCTGATAATGTCTGAACCTACATTATCATTTTAATAAAAAATATGTATGGTTGAATTACTATGAAAAAAGTAAAAAGACAAAAAAAAAAACCCAAAAAAAGTATTTTCAAAACTAATTTCAGCAAGATAATTCCTCAATTCATTTTTGTTATTTCAATTAAAATATTTCCCCAATTTTTCCATTTTGATTATTTGTTTTACTAAAACAATCATCATGAGTCTCTTTCCCATAGAATTTTATAACAAAGATTTGATACAATATTTTTATTTATATAATTTTTCAGAGGCTTCTGCTACTACTGTATTTTTACTGTAACTATTTTCCATGGGTCAACTGTTATATTTTGAATTTTACAAGCCAGAACTACATCATCTTTTTTCATTTTTAATGGTGAGCAATTTTGGCAGTTTTGAGTTTCACTTTATATTATTTCTACTGGTAATACCCTTTATGTTGAATAAAAGGTAATATGTATTTCTTCTGTAGTTGATTTGCTTCTACAGTGGTAAGCATTTCCTCTTAGATAACCTAAACTCATCTTCTCTGTAGGATTGGTATTTGTACATATTTATTCTCTGTACTTACACTGCACGCACCATTCATATCACTGCTACCATTCTGTATGATACAAGGTAATGACTTTTGATTCTTACCCACAAATTTTTACATGTTCCAAATCACCTCTCTATACATTTCCTTAAAAAGATAAGGCACAGGCCACAGTGCATGTTTTAGGGAATGCAGGCCATTTTTACATCACAGAGGAAACGTCCTTATGTCTATTATTGTAAATCATTCCCCTCTGTCTTCCTTGTTCCCTGGTTTTTGTGATATGTAAGATTCCTCAGATTTCTTTTTACCCCTCCTTTACCCTGCCTGTTTCCTTCCTGGGCTCTCCTTAAATGTGAGGTATCTCCAGTATTCTGCATCACTCCACACAACCTTCTGGCATTTTCTTATCTATGACATTATTATAGTCATCACTCATTTACAGAACAAATCTAAATAAACATAGCTAATCTCTTTACTCCGTGACTTACTCACTCAGCTTCCTGTTGGATTTTTCTACCTGGGTGGCCATTGAGATCATCATCTCTGTCCTGTCTCGCTGATCTAAGTGAGCGGCATTACAAGCCATTTATTATCTGCTGGAAACTCCATAGCCATTCTGGACTTCTTTTGATCCTTCTTCTGATTAACTCCTAAGCATGTCCCAAACATTTTGGTGACTTTCCCAGTGAGGTCTGCTTCCTCTCTCACCTGACAACAGCCTCCTTGCTGTCCTCTCTCCATTTCTATTCGTTTCCCTCATATTCATTCCACACAGTTGCAAAATGAACTCTCATAAGCAGAAATCTGACTTTGTTGGTTTTTCTGTTTTCAACCCTCAGTAGCTCTCTATTAACTGCAGGATGAACATGAAGTTCCTTAATGTGGCTGCAAGGCCTTTTTTCTGGTCCTTGCCTATTTCTCTAACCCAGTTTTTAAATCAAATCCCCTGCCACTCTTAACCAGTAACATTTAGCTTATAGTAGTTTCCTATATACATTATGCTATAAAATTCTTCGTGATTTTAGTCTGTCCTTTTTACTTGGTAGGACTTTCTACTCTCTGCTTTCTCCTGATTAAATCCTCCTTTTTGCCTCAGTTCAGGCCTCCTAAACCCATCCCAGCACATGGGGAAGATTCAAGTCTACCTGTACTCTGCTCCCCCTGATCTCTGTGTATCTCTTATCGGTGGGACCACCATGCTTAATCCATGGGCCTGTAGTGATCAGGTCCAATTAGCGTGGTAATTCCGGTACCAAGCGCCGTGTGGCTTGGTAAATGTTTATTATATCACTGAAGTTCTTGTTTAATGCTGCTACTGGAAATTTCATTCAAGCTTATTGTCAAAATAGCTCTTCTGCAGATTGATGAGTGATCAGCTATAAAAGTAAGTTTTAGCATGTTTAAATGTCCTGAAAATTTGGGTTCACTAGAATGTGCCTAATTTTTACAATTAGGTAATTACAGGAGAATGAAAAACTGGTCAGATACATCATAGAACTTCACAGTGCATAGTAAACCTTAATGTGTATAAGTTTAAAAAAAAAAACATCAGTAAGGAGGGTGGAGGATCTCAGGAAAAGATGTTGACTGTGCCAGAGAATCTGATTGTTACACATGTATGAGCACCTGAAGTGAGAATGATAGGGTGAGAGGAGACAGACATTGACCTAGATAAGCTTGGAAATCCCAGGATGGGGTATTATAGCATACATCTGATCAGCACGCCTCAAAACTGCAAAGATCATCAGAGCAAGGAAAGTCTGAGAAACTGTCATAGCCAGAAGGAGTATAAGTAACTATGATAATTGAATGCAACGTGGTAGCTTGGATGGGATCCTGGAAGAAAAAAAGAACATTAAGCTAAAAACTAAGAACATCTGAATAAGCCAAAACCTATAGTTAATAATTTATCAGTATTGGGTCATTGCTTATAACATTGTGTCATTCCTTGTAACTGATGTGTCATACTAAGATGCAATGTTAACAACAGAGGAAACTGCAAGTGGGGGGATGTGGTGGGTGCACTAACAAGGAATCCTCAGTTGTATCTCCTCAATCTTCTATACATCTACAGGTATTCTACAATGTAAGTCTATCAGTAAAAGGGCTGGAAAAGGCAGTTTAAAAAACTTCACCAAGGCAAAGCAGCAACTAAAACATGTTATAGTTAAGGCAAGCTTTTTTTCTGAACATTATTTTTCCAGTAGAGAAACTGAGTAGGAAAAATTAGTTGTCCACATCTTATAAAGCCTTGTGAGAAACAAAGGTTTGTAAAAAAAATAATCAAATCAAAACAAGCAAAACAAAAACCTTCACTGAGTTGAAGGGAAACCACAGGACATTTACTGTAATTAGGCTGCAGGTTTAGAACAATAATTTCCTCTGATTGGATTTGTGAAAGTGTTCCTGGAGGTATTGATTTAATTTAATTTTCTACATGCTTATGGAGCACCTGCTATCTGTAAGGTCCTTGGTTTGGCATTGGGAAGTAGATATAAAAACTGAACTAAGAATGGTCCCAAAGAACTTAGCATCGATAAGAGCATAAAGCATCCCAAATACACTCAAAGACAAAGCAGGTCATCAGTGAGAAAGGTGGACAGAGGGAGGGAGCATCCCAAGGAAAGGCGCACAGCTGGAAAAGGACAGGGTTGATGAAGGCGTCAGTTTGGCTGAAGGCTGTCAGAGGAAAGCATGGGCCCAAGTGACACAATGGATCACAGATAATTAGAGGTGAAGCAGGTTCAGCCACACATCTCCAACATTAATCAGGCCAGAGCCTGAACAAAGGCCAGGAGACCAGAGAACCTGGGGCAAGAGAAGGGCTACTGCAGCCCAGAGGCAGGCCATGGGACCAGAATCACGGCTCTTTAGTGAGACAGGAAAGGAGGGAACACAAATATATGCAGCTTTGGCTGTTTAGATGCCATTTTGTGAGAATGAAATTCACGGACTGCGCTGGAGTAGATGGTCCCACTGATCACGACTGTGCCTTAAAGCACATGCTGGTATTTGAGGGAAGAAATACAAAAGGATCCCTCTGCCTGGCTTGGTACGATGCAAATCAACTTACGTTTCCTTCCTTCTTCCTATTCTACGAAGTTTTTATTTGTTCTTGTTTAAAAGTAGTTTATGTATATCATATTTGCAAATATGCATAAAATAAAATTCCCTTGTAATTGTATAAACCTGAGGAGCTTATTCTATAATCGTAGTCTATTTCCCTCCACTCATTATTTTTCTAGGCATGAGGTACTGGGACATAGTACAATTGGCTGGAGAATGCAAAGTTATGTGCACACCACAGACTACACTTTATAGAACAGACATTAACGTGCACACAGGAAAAGCTGTATGTTTGAATACTGGCATCTACAGTAGATTGCTTAAAAGGCTGGGGCTCCATTTCTTTCTTTCTTTCTTTCTTTTTTAAAAACATTTTTTTATTTTAAAGAGATTAAAAGAAAAACAAAACAATAGAAATGATATAGGGATTTCAGAACAGGCTAGTTACTAAATTGCATATTGTTATCTTCAAAATAATTGCTCAGATTGGGGCTCCATTTCTATGAAGTTCTTTTAGGTATATTTGGTGAGAGCAACCTACTACAATATATTTTTATTTTCAGTTCTAAAAAATATAGCAACAAATACAAAGGTTTATTTAAAAGAAAAGTAATACAATTTATTTAAAAAGCACTTTTGTCCCTAAGTAGTATATTCCTAAAAAAGTAACTGTCTTGTGATGGATTTTTAATAATATGAAATTTCTTAGGCATACAACTGGCAAGTTAGAGGAAAAAATACTATCTGTTTTATATGTATATAAAAATCCATCATATGTAGCAATGACCAAATTGGAGTAAGCACACACATTACATTTGTGTCCTTTTTTCCCTGACTATATGACATATTTGATAATATATTTTAAATTTTTTTACTAGATGAATATTTTAATCTATTTACCTATCTTTCAAGAATCATGTTAATCTTGCCTCCTCTGATAGCTTCGGTTCATTATCTCTTACTTGGACTATAGAAAAGCTCCCCTGAAATGCTTTACCAGTGAATCATTTGTTCTCTTTCCAAATCATCTTGCTGAAATAATCTTCCTCATACATAGCACTGATTATGTCATTTTTCGGCTTGAAACACTGTCATCGGTTCCCAGTGGCTATTTGTTGGGCTAGTTTTCCTACTTCTAATTCCCTACATCTCCACCAAACTCATCTTTCTGTCCCATTACTTCAACTCTTCCTTACATCTAGAATTTTAATACCATCCCATGTTTCACATCATCATAATTAAATGAAAATCATAGTCACTAACAACCCACTCTATTCCAGACATCCTGCACAGTATGTAAAAGATTATGTATTATGCATTTCTCGCCCTCTCTGGGCTGTGATACTTTTGAGGGTCTTACCCATCTCTGTTTATATACCTTGCACTACATGAAAATGTGGGAAGGCAAGAGATACCCTAGCAGCATAAAAGGAGGCACAGACTGTGTCTCTGCAGATGGGATTTTGAGCAGCTGACTCCTAAACTGACCGGATAGTACTGAACATGGTTTGTTCAGGGAACTTTTAGAAAGGTGGGTATTTTTCTGCAAGTGGGCCAAAGTTCCAGATCTGTCTCTAGATGGAGGAGGGGGACCACCATTCATAGATTTGAAAAAAAAAATTGATCAGAAACTTTAAAAACCAAGTGTTATATCACATTTCTTCTCAAATTGGCTATGCTTCTAAATGTTTATATTAGCCTGCAATTTTCGTATGTAAAATTTGCCTCTTTCCAACTAGGATATAAATTTTTTAAAGGCGAAATACAAAGATGTACATTTGAATGTCTCAAAGTCCTCAGCATGGTGCCTAACCCATAATAGGAATTTTTACCATCTTTTATAATTATTCTTATTTGGATAGTTTGAATGTCCCATGCTTAAAGGGAATTCTGAACATCTGTTAGAAGGATTAAGCAATGCTGAATCAAGATAGAAACTGAAAAGGCCAGCACGTTTTACAAAAATCTTCTGGATTAGTGATTTTTGCCTTTAGAACAATTTTATTTGCTGTTAAAAGAGTAATTTAGTATAATTTGTTTAAAAATGTCACATTTTAGCATATTTATGGTTGTCAATAACTAGGGGGCCAGCAGAAAATAACAGGTTGGATTTTTAGCAATGATAACTGGGCTTGTCTCTTAGAATTGTTTGCATGTAACAATGGTTAATCAATGGATGACGTCCTCTGAAGACTCATTAGCCCTTCTCTAATCCCTGGACAGTACCTTAATATGTAGCCTTATGGTATCTTCTCTATACGGAATAAATATGGTCTGGTGATTACATTGCTAAACCAAAGTAATGGATATAAATGAACAATGAAGCTGGAGAAGTTAGCAATGCATTCTAGCAGAGCTATGGTGAATCAGAGAAATAAACTCTTGAGTTTATTTGGGGGATCAGTTAGGGAAACAATATAAGATCAGGGCAATTCTCGCAGGAACCATTCCAGTGAGAGAGAGACAGAGAGACAGAGAGAAAACAGTGGTTTCTTGCTTACATTTACAAAACAAGAAAAAGGAGAAAGTAAAGGTTATAGCTACCAAAGAAAAGAGGGGTAGGATAGATATAGCTACAAATATACAAAAAGAAGACTGCTGAGAGAGTACCAGAAAATATGATCCAGAAACTAGCCACAGAAAAAAGCATCAGGTGAAACAGACAACATAGAAGAGGAAGTAGAAAACCACAGCAGGTCTATTCACACTACATGGATGTTTCTCTGAATGACTGCTGCCTACTTCTTTGGTTGGGATGCGAACCCAGACCGTCATGTGCTCTTTTCCTTACTTATTGTAGCAGTGGTGATGAGGGAACACATGTTTCCTGTCATTGTTTATAATCCCTAGGTTTTACTGTTTATCATTTCACTCTTTCAGTTCAAGGGGAAAAGGCACATGCCAACTGTCTAGCTATCAACACTGTTTTCCTTGGAGATGAGAAGAAACAAGGAACAGTTACCAGAAGGACAGTCAGTACAATGGCAATGAGCTGGAAAAGCGTAACAGTCATAGAAGAGCTATGTTTTCTAAATGATTATCTCTGTGGAGAGAGATCTGTTACATAACTATGATGCAGTAAGAACTCAAGTCCTCAAAATCAATTTTTCTTGCCAGTGGCCCATAGCAATTTACATTTAGTTCATATTTCTTGTCCTTTTATTTTGGAGGCCTAGTCCGTTCCTGGCCTACATTTAAGAAGTAGTCTACAGCTGGGCACAGTGGCACATTCCTGCAGTTCCAGCTACTCTGCAGACTGAAGGATTCTGAGCTTTGGATTTTGGGGTCAGCCTAGGCAGCACAGACTGTTTTTGAGATTCAAAGAAAGAAAGAAAGAAAAAAAGAAAAGAGAAAGAGAGAAGGAGAGAAAAAGAAAGAAAAGAAAAAGAGAAAAGAAAGAAAGAAAGGAAGGAAGGAAGGAAGGAAGAAAGAAAGAGAGAAATTGAAAATCATCCTCTTACATGAGTCTGGGTATGTCACTGACAGCCACTGTCCCATCGTGGGTCTCGCTCTCTCCATCTTCCTCCTCCTCCTCACTACTCTCTGACTCTTCACTGGAGGAGGAATAATCAGTCACCTTCTTCAGTGGGCGGTTTGTTTCTTCAATCCGCAGTTCTCTTAATTCTTTGGCTAATGCCGTCAGATCCTATAAGAGGAAAGTTTGTTTAGCACACGAACTGTAGGTATGACCCAAGTTACATCTCTCAGCAAGTCAGTGCTCCAGCTTAAGCACAAGAAAAAAAGCTCTATTGAGAAGTGTGACAAACATAGTTACTGCATGGAACTAAGAAAACGATGTTTGTAGCGTGTAGAAGCTAGAATAGAAAGATGAATTCCATTTAAACTTTGTTCAAAACCAATAGCTAGACTGAGACTCTTCTGTCTGATATATGTACGTATGTATGTGTATGCTGTATTGTGTGCATACACGTATATGCAAACATTGTTCTTTCATTTTAGTTTGAGAAGGTGAAGTTCATCACCTTCAAAATTAATGGAAATACAAGGGGTTAAAAATTGTTGTCCAGGATTCTGGGACCCCTGCCCAAGCCATGGTGATGGCCTTTCCCATCTTAGGATTGCTATTGTAACAACATCTAGCATCAGTCATAGAACAGAGCAATTTTCAAAGTTCATTTAGTGTGTCATCATTCCCTGGAGAGCAGAGGCACCACATCAAATGATGGCCCACCCCAAAGCCTACTGCCACTGAAATTATAGCCACAGAGCTGAGTTAATCAAAAGGAACAGAGAGAGAGAGAGAGAGAGAGAGAGAGAGAGAGAGAGAGAGATCTCTTCCAAAATAAGTTATAAATTCCAATCACCTGGCAGAAACCCTGGCAAAGAACACTGAAATGAATGTGCAAACACCCAAAGGAAGAGATAATTTTTCAGTTTTCCACGAGTATGATGAAACCTTTAGCCTTATGGATGTGATGATGTGGTATTTAATCACCAGGCACATTGCAGGCAGTGTGCTGAATATCTGACTACCATGCTTTCAGAGCAAGGCAGAGGGAAGCAGTTCTGCAGAAGCATGGCCGCTCTAATTTGCATGGGTTAACCTGCCCATGGCACACAGCATGCAAATGAGGAAAAAGCAATTTGATATCATCTTACCATTTCTCCCTATTTAGTGACCCATGTGGGAATCAGAGCATTCAGTGAGAGACAGGGGATGAGGGAGAAAGACACTCATTGAAAAACTGCTAAATCCTGCATTTTCTTATGGCCATATTCTCTCTTTATTTCAGTCCAGAAATACATCTGTCCAATTCACCTGATACGAGATTAATCAACGTGACCTACAGGATGTTAAGTAGACTATCCCAATCACTTAGAAGAAAAACTGTGATCAATGGTATAGTTAACATTGTAATTATAATTTTACTCTGAAAGGAGAACAAAACCATCATGTTTTTCTAGTGCCAAATACATGCCAGGCACAGCTATTTTGGTTAAAATTAGGGGAGGAAACATATCGGGTCTTTCAGTTGAAATTTAGGAAGTAGAAGGTATTAACTGAAGGAGTCATTTCTTTCTAATTTCATAAAAATCACAGGGAAAGCAGTGATGACTTAATGTCAAATGAAGCCCTTGGAAAAGAGAAGCTTCTGAAATTCAAACTGCATTTTATACACAAATGCACTTGGGGATTTTCCATATGCACATATTCACTCAAATGCCTGGCCTCAGACTCAGTGGACATACTCTATCCGTGCAAGTGAAAACAGTTTTATTAAAAAGGCTCAATGGTATTTACATAAAATATAAACTATTAAATAAAAGGAAAATTGTCACAGAGAATTTTATGTAAACTTACATCTGGTTTCTTTGCCAATGGGGCAAAATAGGCAAAGCTAATACCCAGATTTCAGCTTTTTACTTATTTCCTCTTGGTAATTGCTAGGGCTTATCTCCATCAAATGGAAAAGAAAGCACAGAGGATGTTACACTTGAGCACCATGGGAACATATAGTCCAAATATTTGCTAAGCCTATGAAAGAAAAAGATGTTATAATCTTCCAAGTTAGTAAAATAGTAACAAATTAGAAAATCTGATTTATATTTTGATTTTTATATGTTAAGACCAGGTTAAGTCTTGTCAAAGAATGTAAATAGGTATAAAAATGTTACTTGTCATTTGAATATATTTTATCAGTTAAAGAGAGAATATGGTTTGAAATAATTTCTTCTCAATAATGAGTAAAATATAATACTATTAGCTATGATTTATTTAAATTAATGATATATTTTCCCCCAAGGTTTAGTTTTTCCTTGTTTTGACATTTCAAAAATTTTAAAAAAGACAAAAGATTTTTTAAAAAACAAAATTATTTAGAAATATACTAGTCCATAGCTCATTGATTTAAGGAAATGTTTACATCTTAAAAAGGACCTACATTTTCCTAAACACTACCCCGTATTTAGAAACACTTTAAAGTTTTACCCTGCTTTATAATTTCATGTTTAATCAGAATTTTTTGCTTCTGTAATAGTAAATGTTATTTTCTGGAACACAGGAATAATTGTAGATTATTTTTGAGTTTAATTAGTAACAGCTTGGAGGATGTGATACATAGGAAAATCTCAAGATAACAATAATGTCAACAATGATCAAAAGTAACAACCCCAAAGAAAATTAATCTTCGTTGCCAATAACCTATGTGTTTTATTGAAGTTGCATTTCTTATCCATTCACTATGGAAAAATTTACAATAGCACAGTTATAGAAAGTGGACATACTCAGATCCATTTGCGTGTATTTTATTTTCTAACAATAACAATTTTCTCCATACAATGAGCTCTCCAGTAATTTACTGATTGGCTGTCTAAGCCTGAAGCTAAAAAGTATTAAAAAGGGGAAACAAAACTGCTACTTAGTGTAAAAATATTTGAGAATGCATGACTAAAAAAAAAATATGGCAAAATGGTTAAGTTTTTTTTGACTGTAGAGCAATTGTGGAAATATGAGGTTTGAATTCAAAGGCTTTGACATAGCACTTTTTAGAATTACCTTGATACGATTTTTCATTCAAAAGAGCTTAGTTAATCTGAAAATTATGCACATAACTTGTCTAAAAAGGTATTCTTTTAGGCTTCTTTTTCAAAATATGGTTTATTGAAATTCTAGTTTAGTTTCTTAATCTATTATATTATTAAATAATTTAAATCTAGTTTTCCCCTTATGCATCAGAATTTTTTAAAGGAAACCTAAAAAACGACACCCAGCAAGTCACTTGACTTCCTTATCTTCAAGTGAGGGAAAAAGAGTTGGGCTAGTTATTGCTTAAGTTCAGTCCCATCTATGGCTGTACTCCATAATTTCTCAGACTCCTTTACACTAACAAAGAAGCAGTGGGAAGGTCAGTGTTTTCTTATGCATATAATAGTCATGTCACATATTTAATTGTGCTAAAGTAGAACAGATTTCTTTTCAAAGGTTGTATTAAATAATTATAGACTATTCTGCAAAATCTCATATTCCCTTAGAAAGTGAAAAATTAATGGGTACTTCCCAAATTGATTTTTATGAAAAACTGAATCATTAAACTACCAATAACAAGCAACATATTTTAAGAAGTATTTTTAAGACATTTCAACTCAACACTGGGTTATCTAAATGACAATTAGTCACCAAGGGGATGCAATCCATGTCAAAACCCACAAATGGAGAAGAGAGAAAGCTTTAGTTCATGGCTTCTCCACCGTGGCGAGACTGAATTTGAGGTCTGGTACAAATCTTTGTTGCCTCCACATACCGGAGGGTGGCTAGCAGCACTGTGTACTCTCTGCACAAGGTGCTAGTGCCACTGCCTTCCAGACTCAACTCTGATTACAAAAACTGGCTCCAGGCTTTGTCAAGAACCTTCTAAGGGAAGAGTGATGAAAGAATCATCTCTGGCTGAGGACCACAGGGCTAGGCAAAACCAGTACAGCCTGCGTTCTCAGTGGTCTATCAGTGGTGCTCACGAGGGAAGGCTGTGAACATCACCTGGAGGGCCTCTTCCAGCCATACATGGCTCCTGAGACTGCAGTGTGTACAATCCAGCCCGCTTTAATTATTTACAATTATGCATGTCACTCTTGTCCCTTTTCGCCTTTGTGTGGTGTGATGGAGAATGCCAAAACTTTGAGCAGTTTTCTCAAAGCTTAAATATCCAGGGTTAACCAGCTGAGGTCCACTGTAGCCCTTTCCCTCACAGGTGGTAGTCTTGCGCCACTTTCTGGACTTGACATTTCCTTTGTCTTATGCACACATATAGCCATTTTACTGGCATCCAAAATATAGAAAATCACCTCTTTCTTCAGTGGTTCTGGGACAAAGCTGATTTTAAAAGATGTGACAATTGCCCCATCTTTGCTATTATAAGGAAAAGGGATAAGCACGGCCCTGGCACAGAGCAATTATAAGACCCCTTTCCTTTTTCTATAAATCCCATCCATACACTGTAGACATGCAGAGTCTCATCTCTTTATGAACAATAATCCTTTAACCAGGAAAATAACTTTCTAAGTCACTCTGGACAGTGAGGTGGTCATAACTCTCAGAAAGTGAGGTTCATTGGTGAAAGTTAAGTGAAGACCAGATGCCAGGAAACATGCTTTATCCACCTGCATAAAAAAAGCTCCATGTCTCTGGCCCAAACCTTACCAATCATAACAGCTCGGCTTTCTGTAACACTTCATAGTTCATAAAATGTTTCTGCACACATGACCTTGAGTGATCATAAATGAGGCAGGGCAGGTGTTTTTATCTTCATTTTACAGAGGAGGAAATTCTAGCCAAAGAGGTTGAGACTTGCGCTAGCCAGCTATTTATCAGGGAAGCTGAGATTTTAATACTGTTTGTTGTTCCCCTAAGTCAGTGCTTTTTCCATGTAACTTCACAAAAGTAGTCCTCAGCAGAGCTACAGCCTTAAAGCCATAACTACAGTCATCAGCTTCCATGCATTTAGGACTTTTCGCAAGGCCTGGCTGTTAAAAAAAAAAAATTCACTATGTGTATTCATGCAGGCCTGACAAACAGCAGTAAGGCAGTCATCCTTCTTAGCAAGCTACCTACAACTGACAAAGCCATATATTTTTCTAATGGAAAACTGTCTCTACAGATAAGTAAATAAAGTCACTTAACTCAGCAGGATTCACTATGTCAAGTGAATATTGCTACTGATGCTAGTGTTAATGTCCCACAAAATTAATCTAACAATACCCAATGACTCCTTGTTCACAAATTAGACACTATAAATTTGGAGTGCTCCAGAATGATGTCTCTTTTTTTTCCTTAGTAAAACTGCTGAGAGCCATCTCCTAGTAAAGCTGGAGAGTACAAGTTTGCTATGGAAAGGGACTGGAAGGAGAAACTGTGCCATTAATAAATCATCAATATTTGTTGTTGGCCAAGAACATTGGAAAAGCAACATACTCATTTAGAGGGAGGGTTGGGAAGGTTTACATGGGTAGGTCTGAGCATCTCAGACTGGCTTTTATTGAAAGGGCTCTTCTTTGACCAGATTTCATGAAACTAGTCCTCAGCAAAGCCACAGCCTTAAAGCCATAACTACAGTCATCAGATTCCATGCATTTAGAACTTTTCACAAAGCCTGAGTGGCTTTAAACCTGTGATCCCACTGGACTGCTTTTCTAAATTCCACAGCAGGAAATCAGTTTAATATTTAATCTTGTGAAAGTATGACCAAAAAGAGGCAATACTAACCTCATCTATAGCTTTCTTATAGCTCTGAAGTAAGAGGAACCCATCCAGAAGAATCCACAGAAGAGGAAAAGCCAGAAGAAAGGACGCAGGTTAGACACAAAATAGGAATCGTTAGTACAAAATTGATAAAGACAAAAGGACAAAGAGAACTTCAATCCTGTGAATCTCCTTCATTGCTACTCAACGTGCCTCCTAATTTTAAAATGTAAAGATGAAAACAAAAAAGAGTAAACCAAAAAGGCTTTACATTCATTTTTATAGAAATGATTCTCTGAAAATTGAAGTACGTGGACACTGAGTCATCCCAAATTAATTTTCCACTTTTCAGTTTCAGTCTGCATGCTCTTAATCCTTTTTTAAAAAGATACTTCGGGTCCATCAGGTTACAGCAGTGAAGCGAGATTTCAAGCTGCCAGGCCCCTCTGTGACACTATGCTTATGAAGTTTCAGCCCATAAAAGATATGCAAGTTCCAAAAGACATGAAAAGTAGCAGAAAAATGACTGTGCTAATTTATATGGAAAATAATATTGGAAAGGGAAGAATAACTAAGAGACATTATGTCCTTGACTGCCAGATTTAGTAACTATGCCATCACTGTGGAGACAAAATTTTGGAATAATATGAGTTATTTCTCTTCCTGTTTTATTCTCTGAAGGGGCTCAGAGGGTCACCAAAATAATCCAAAGGCAGAAGAAACAACCCAAGATCTGATCAGTTCTTCTATAATGAGGTGTGGCTTCTTTCCTATTAATCTCCAACAGTTTTGTTCACAATCATGAATGTATCCCCCATCACTTTAATTTGTCGGTCCTTTGGCAAATTAAGAGTTTCAACTCAGACAGAAAAGCACTCACAGCTGGTCGGCTGGGTCGGGTAATATCTCTGGATTCTTCTGGTTTCACCTTGGAAGGCTCGTGGGGGAGCACAGGTGATCCTTCTGACTTACTGTTAGCTAAAGGAAAAATAGAGGGTCAAGAAAGACATTGACCATCAAAGAGCGCTAACATCGGAGCCCTGGGTGAGTCATCTGTGAAGATGCTTCCCTTCAGGATTACTCAGTGCGTACACTGTTCACTTAGCCAAATCCCCAAGCACAGTCATGGAAAATAATAAATATTCAGGCAAGCAAATTCAGGCAGACATCTTTAGGTTTGTAACTCAGAAATCATAATAATAAAGTGTAGGGTAGCAAGCACCCTACACTGCTACTGTTTATTAAGGGGGTGTCTGATTCTGAGAGGTTTCTGATATACACTGTGCTTTCTCTGACAATCACCTCATTTCATCTTTGCTCCAACCCAACAGAATGGTACTACTGTCCTATTTTCTGGATATAGAAAGATGACAGAGATGGCCTGTGATTTTGATGACATTATGGACTAAGCTGTGTTTCTTTCTGATTGCTAAAACTTTTATTCTCAGTGACTGTGCTAACCAGCTTCAAATTAAGGTTCTGTGCTTGGTTTCTTCTTTTACTACTTATTCATCAGGATAATTATTTTGATGGATTTTGGTGTGGAAAAAAATAAAATCTCATTTGCTTGATGGTATTAAAATGGGACTAGAGAGACATCAGAGCCCTTTTAAGAAAGAAAGAAAGGAGGGCAGGAAGGGTAGTGGTGATGCGGGAAAGGGCCAGGAGCAGAGGTGCAGAGCAAGGAGTGAGGTCCCCGCAGCTCCAGAGAGATCAGTTCTGTACAGGTCATTAGTTTATCAGTAGTGGAGAAAGAAGGAGAGATGTCTTGCTTTAAAGTTCCTAGTTAGGGACATATCAGGCATACAAGAATACTTTTAACTCTGAACTAGGACCAAAGGAAAGAATATAATTAAGGAAAAAAAATATATATATATATAAATTTTTTTACATTTGTTCCAAAAAAGTCAGGGAGTGAGGGGTGGCAGTTCTCTGCCACTCTCTCAGGGGAAAAAGACATACATAACTGTTGGATGTGCCACTAATATAGCAGAATTCATACAGGGGTGGCTGTGGGTCAGCAGTGTCCTTAGTTCTAGACATGGACATTGTATGTTAGAGGTCAAGCTTTTGAAAGTGGACGTATGGTGATCTTACTTATTTGAAACCTATTAGGGACATTAGCAGGTAAACTATGGTTGTGTCCACTGAAGAGGCCAAGAAAGAATAAAGAACTGGAGATTTCAATCGGTTTTATAAGTATACTGTCAAGTAGCACTTCAAAAAGTACTGGATGGTATCACTTGGAAGCAAAATTATCTTCTGAAGAAGGTGATTCAGAAGGAATAAAATTTTATTAGTAAAGGCTGGCAATGTAATGACCACTTTCTTTGTGGGTGATTGACACATGTGCATTATACTCCTTAATTCCCTTTTATATCCTTTTCCCTTCTCCTCCTCTTCTTTCCTCTATCCTTCCTGCTTGCAGAAGGTCTAGCTCTCTGTTTTCTTTTTTCTATCTTTGAATTTTCTCTTTAAGATATTTACACTGTGGGTTTCTCATGTAAGAGAAACCATATGGTATTTAAGCTTGTGTATCTAACTTATTTCACTAACATTATGATTTCAAGGTGCATCCACTTTCCTACAAATGACTCAAATTTATCCTTATTTATAGCAGACAGTACTGTATTCAGTATAAACGCCACGTTTTCTTTAGTCATTTGACTAAACGATGGGCATATAGGCCAAGATTTAGCTCCTACGAATTGTGCTTGTAGGCATGTATCACTATAGTATGATGTTAACTCTTTCAGGGAGACACCTAGAAAGAGAATAGCTGGACTGAAGGGAGTTTCTTTTATTTATTTTTTTTTTTTGAGAAATCTCTGTATTGATTTTCATAGTGGTTGTAGCTAAAAACTACGTATTGCTGTACATAATTGCCTGTATAATATGAATGGATTTCATGGGTTTCCCCATTAATGAAAACTAAACAATGAATGATTTGAGACAAACTTTTGAAGAGGCTAATTTTTATCTATCTGATTAAAGCATCAAATGTATTTTTTAAGTCAAAGATTTTATTCTTTCCTCAGGTATATTTATACTGTGTTAATTTTCATCCAATTTCATGAATGAGAAACACCTATAAATCATGAACTGTGCTCAGAATACTGAAAGAGATGACTGGCACACTAGGAACAGGAAATTCTTTAGCACAATTTCCTGTTCCTGTTGATTGTTTTTAAACAAGCAATCAATTGGAAACGGAAATTCAGGAGATTGTTACTTATGCTTTCAAATAAGAATACTTTTGATGATCTCTCTGGAAAACACTAGTGTCTGAGATTAGAAAGGATTTTGTCCACACTGATGTCATCTGTATGTGACCCAGTCTCTTTAGGAGATGAGGTTGAAAGCAGCTAAGAGGCTGCTACCCTGTGTAGCCTCACTATGGTCAGGAAGTAGCTCTTTCTCCCTGTTCATGTTTTCCTCCCCGGTGACGCTGCCAGGGAAAGGTAACAGCAAGATTTACCTCGAACTCTGGTCCGTTCGCTGGATCCTGCCTGTGAGCCAGGCTGAGAGCCCCCTTGGGAACTGGGCTGGGAGCTGGGGGTGCTGGAGCTGGAGGAGCTGCCACTGCTGGTCCTCTGCAAGGGGCTCTCCAAGACGGGCTCTGTTCTCCGGAGATCAGGGTTGCTGTGTGGGTGGCACAGCACACTCATTAAAGTCTTGCTGATTTTTCAAGCCACCATCTCAGAATGTATTGATATCCACAATATTTAATGAAATCAAGCAATACAATAGCAAGAAGACAAGAAGACTCAAAAATGAGGGCAAGGACCTGAACAGACATTTCTCAAAAAGTAGATACACAAATATACGTAACAAGTATATGTAAAAATGTTCAACTCATTAATCACCAGAGAAATGAAAAATAAAACCATATTGAATTATCACCTTGCAACTGTTAGAAGTCTATTATTATCAGAAAGATGAAGGATAACAAGTGCTAACATATGTGAAGAAAAGGAAATCTTCCTACACTGCTGGTGGAGATGTATATTAAGTATGGAGATTCCTTAAAAAAAAAAAAACCTTAAAAACAGAACTATCACGTAATACAGAAATTCCATTTGTGTTCTTTGCAAGGTTCTGGATTTGCAGGAAATGAACACCTGAAACAATGCTTGAGTGAAAACACTAAAAACACTAATTCTGAAATGATAAATTTTAAAAGGGGACTTTCTTTAAATGCTTTTTCCCTGTGATAATTTTTTTGTTTATTTGTTTGTTTGAGACAGGGTCTCACTGTATAGTTCAAGCTGCCTCTGAACTCACTATAGCACAGGTTGGCTTCCAACTCATGGTAATCCTCCTGCCTCAGCCTTTTTGAGTGTTAGGATTATGGGCATGACCTACCATGCCTGGCTCCCTGGGATCACTTTAAGAAACTTGAAACATATTGAAAGGTAAAAATAAGAAAGTAACGTACATAATCTTCAAATCAGAAGATATTCAATTACATTTTACTGTTTGGTAAATTATCTACTGGCCTTTTTTTCCTTTGAATCTATGGAAGCATATGATGCATTCAGTTTTGCTTATTACTCACCCAACCCTTTCCAACACCACACTGTGAGCACTGTCTTGTACTTCTGAAAGCAGTAATGGCTGCATTGTAATGTACTATATAGACTTACTGGCCTAACTATTGCTCTACCACTAAATATTAAAGTTCTCCCATATAGTGCTGTGACAGATAACACTGAAATCTTCATCTATCCACTCACCAATGCTCAATCATGTCCGCTTCCTAGAATTAAAAGTCTTGGGTGAAAAGGCATGAGTTTGGATATGCATGTATGCACGTGTGAATGGGCATCTGAAAGTGTCACCACGTTTTACTGTGATGGTCTGTCTCTAAATTCTTATCAGATTTTGTTAGGAGCAATTTGACAAATTTTATCTTACTCATTTAATGTCATTTAAAATTTGGTAATGAGGTAGAATGATGTTTACCCACATTTATAATCCCTTCCCTGTGAACTGCTAAATTAAACCCTTTGCTTATGTATCTAGTAGTTTTTATTTTTTTAAAATAATTTTCTTGCAGGAAGTCTATACTCTTAGCTACCAAAGGGATGTGTTTTTGAATCATTACTACTAAATGTTAATTCAAGAATAAATTAGTTTATTAGCAGGCTAGTAGCTCCTACCTTTTAAAAGATTTGGAAGATTCTTTGTCCTATCTTTACTCCTCCTCTACAAATAGCATTATTTATTCCCTTACTCGGTTGTCTTACACTAGGCATTTGAGATATGAAAATGATGCAGGCTGTGCCCTTTGCAAGATTAGCCAAGCACACAGATCCCATTTCATTCAAGCTTTGCCTGCATATGGAAGCATGAAGCAGGGCCTTTCTGGGCTGGAGGGGAGCTATAGCAGAAGAGGAGACATCTAAACAATGGTGCTGAGAGGCAGCTGAGGTTTTTATCGTGTTGTTTCTAAAAATGTAGCATTCTTAAAGCTTCTACAGACCGCTTTCTTTTGAATTTACTACTAACAGACCCTGTTTCTTTTGTCTATTAGATTTACGTAGTGCTGGCAGGGATAATTCACTGACACCTGAAAATCTATTACTATCCAGTTGGTGAGACAAAAAGCCGAACCCAGCATCAGCTTCCTCTGTTTCTGACATCTTCAGTTCCCCCAAAAAGAATTTCACATGTTTGTGCAAACTGGAGGGTCAAGGCTGGTGTTAAGAAGGACAAAGGACCCAGGGGCCTCTGGAGCAGTATGCAGGAAGGCTGGAAGTGGCCTGAGCAAAGACAGAGGCTGGGGTTGTCCCGATGTACATGGATGTAGAAAGGACACCCACAGACTAGAATACCAAATCTGTCTTAGCAATCAGTGGGAGAATGGAGTGAGCTGAAGAAAAGGTCAGGGTGTACAGCACCAGCCATTCACACTTGGCAGAGAATGTATACCTGCCACAGTAAGCTTATGCCCAAACTAGACGGGAAAGAGGCAGGTAGACCAGCTAGGAGGCTACTGCCATGTCAGATGATGACATCCTGGGCCAGCGTGTCCTGGCATCAAAGAGCAGTACAAGTATTAGCAGAACTTGACGGAAACAGTATGCACCTGATGGGCCTCCTTCTGTGTGAAGCTAATTGGATCCCAGAGGCATTAAGTCCCTGACCTGGGCCTCATTAGCACACATCCTCCCCACTGGAGCTCACCAGCCTGGGTGCCGATCTTAATAGGCTGCTATTTTTACTGCTGGAGACTAAAGAAGTATTTAGTTCCTATGTAACCATACATAAAATAGGGAAAACTTTACACAGCCTTTCTACCTTACTTTTTTCTTTTTTAGTAAAACATGAGCAATTTGAGAAATTGTTATACTGTTCACATTTTTCTCTTTCTTATTATGTATATATGGTCAGACCTTGGGGCCAACGTGTCTGAGATAAATGCTGTTAGAAAGATCTAAATTCAAAAGAATTCTATTAAATTGTAAATATTCCTTATTCATGTATTAACAGAATCTACTAAGATCCAAAGACGCAAAACTTGAAAACATCTAAATAGATTTCTTTATATGATAACTTTTAATTCAAATATCTGTCATCCTGCAGACCATACTATTTGGTCTATAAAACACATAGTAAAGTAAAAAAGTGGTAATTACTCCATCCACTTGAATCATACAGAAAGTCAAAACAGAAAATGAGGATTACAAAGTGAATTTGTGCCCAAGTACTTGGGCCAAGTCTTTAATTAACTGGCTGGCTGCCAAAATTCATTTTATTTTGTTCTTTGATGACATAGCCAATGAGAAAAAGCAAGTCATAAGAAGACAGGTTGGGGATGGTACAGAGAATTACTTTTAAAAATTAAGCAGTTATTGGATTTTGCCTGGGTTTTTCTAGCTTTATTTAAATCTTTTAGTATTCTGAATGTACTTGTTTCATCAAATTTTAATTTGCTATAAAAGGACACATGAATCAAAGTTAAATATTAGAGTACCTGGGATGTTAAAAACAATATTTTTAAATGATCAAATCAAATGTTTAAACTCAAGTGCTCACCCTGACAGAATATGTAATTTGGGAGTCCACCAGCAGGTGGGAAGTGCTCACTGATCGAGGGCAGGAATAGCTGAATGAGGCCATGCTTCTGTGTTACTACCCAGACTTTCGCCATCTGAAATGGAATGCTACAAAGCATGTGATGACACCTAGTTCCAGCTCGACTGGGTGTTTGAGATATAAATACGTCCCATGACCAGCAACCTTTAAAACTTAGTATCACAGCAAAAGGGTCCTTCCGATCAGGAGGAGCTGTCACTGGATTCATAAACCACAGGATGAGAAAGGAAGAAGCAAAATGGTGCTGTGTTCATTACCAAGTCAAGGGACCTCTTCCCTTGGGAAATGAGACAGCAATGTCAGCTACCTGATTAGCAGATAACACTGAAGAGTGTAGGCTCGGGTAAGGCTACCAGAGTTCTCACCCTAGGTTTCACCATTTATGGAATGTCACATTTGGCAGCTTGGTTAATTTCTTTTTCTTTTTCTTCTTTAAATTTTAAAGAAAAACACCAATTAAGACAATGGTACAAAATTTCAAAACAAGATTATAGAAGAGTAACAGTGGTTAGTATATTCAGTATTGTTACCTTCAAAGTAATTGCTCAAATTACAAGATATGGGCATGAAAACTGATCAAGCAATATAAGCACAAATCTTTCTTTTTAGCTGGAGTCAGTGTTTGCAGTCATGGAGATAGAAGGTTTTAATATATATTACATGAACTTAGCAAATGAATTAAACTAACAAAACACCCTGAATCTGTCCGTGTTAGTGCTGCAATTTTTCTTGAAATCTATGCTAACTTTTATTTTCTAATTTCCCTTGAGAATCACTTCAAAGAAAGACCAGGAAGAAAAGAAAGGGACATTGACAAAGTATACGAAGTGTAGGTTAGAAGCATTATGAAGGCTTTTGTTTTTAACGGATGTATGATTATCTGCCAAATGGTACACAAAGAACTATGAAGACTTCACTAGGACCCACAGAAGGCAGAGAGGCTGTCATAGCAATGGCTCTTGCCAGTTACATCTCTGGATGGCCACTTCCCTGTGTGGTTCCTTTCATGACTCAGGGATAGGCCAAGAGAGTTGGAGTGGCCACTGGTGTGGGGGGCAACTGAGACAGTACAAATAAATGAAGGCTATAAGCACTCTGTGTACTGGAAATTTCTTTCTTGAAATGCTGTTCTGTAATAAAGGGACAAAGAAGCAGGGAGAGAAGATCCTGTGCATTAAGAGGGACAGCTGACACCGTAGGAGCTCACTGTAGCTACATGACTGAGCGGGGCAGAGACCAGGAAAACTTCCTGGCCAATCCATAAACATGTGAGAAAAAATGAACTGCTATTGTTTCAAAGTTTTGGCCAGTTTACTACGTAGCAAAGGTGAACAGAAGCTATTTCTATATGGTGACTTGAACTTGAACTTGAAACCTTTTATAAATGTAACACAATCTGGAGCTGCAGAGTTTTCCTCAATTTTTTTTCTTTGTACTTTAAATGTTGGTCACATGGAGACATTTTAGCAAGAAGCTGGGATGCTCTCTAGGACTGTCCCACTTATAGAAATGGGGGTGCCCCCTACTCCCCATCTTTTTTCACTGTAAATTATTCTCTTAGCTCTTCCTACTTCTCTCACAAAGTATGGTATTTAAATGGTCCAAAGGGAAAAGTTTGGGTTTGCTACTGATCATCAAGTGCCAATTAAATTAAGCTCTAATGTTACTAAAGTAGCACTTCAGAAGAAATAGAAAGCTGCTTTTTATTTGACTACATAATAGTAATTCTTTCTTCTTGGTTGACAAGAGGAAGAATACTTAAAGTTGAAATAATGTGTGATGTAAAGCTTGAGATAATGCTTGATCTAAACCACAATTCTAAGAAACTGATCTAATAATGGACGGAGCCCCGAGGGCAGGGTTCAAAAGAGCACGAAGTGCTGATAACTGGGGATTTATCACTTCCGGGAAGAAGGACTGTTCAAGTTCAGCCGAGGACTCAGTGCTCACACTCCTCCGGCTCTCGGGCCACAGTACTCCCAGTGTTCCTAGTGCTGCCTCGCAACACCAGGCCAGCACAAATCTGACAAGTTGCAGGAAAACATGGTTCATTCAGTGTAATTCCACTCAGAATGGGCTAACATCTCTGCTCTAAAGTGATTCATGTTCTTAGTATAGTTCTTTTTTTTTTTTTTGGTACCAGGATCGAACTCACGACCCCGCACACTTGCAAGGCAGGTGCTTGTACCGCTGAGCTGAATCCCTGGCCCGAGTTCTGTCTTTTACATGGAGTGACCCCTTCCTGAGGCTTTTCAAGTGGAGAGGAAAATTAAAGTGTTAACAACAAAAGCATTTCATATTTTAAAGATATACACAAGTAATCATAAGCTTCCTGTACATATACACACAGTCCACAGTCCCTCCTCTCTTCTCCCTCTCTCCCTCCCTGTCCCTCGCCTTCTCCCTCTGTTCTTTTTCTTACACTGAACACAATGAAGGAAAAAAAAAAAAAACCCAGCTTGCCCAAGCTCGTTCTTTTTATAGCTGAAGCAGAGGCCATTTGCTATTGTAGGGGATCCTAAAAGGACTGTAGTCATTGTGAAGGATCTGAGGGGAGCTTGATGAGCGGTAACAGCAACAACAGCAAACAGCATCTGTTACCACATCAAATCAGCTCAGATGCTGTAAAGAGGTTTGCTTTCTGGCTTCTCTCGGGACTTCTACAACAACCAATGGAAGTGAATGCAACTTCCCATCCTTAAAAATCCACACTGGTGATGGACGACCTGGGGAGGAGAACACACAGCAACGGTGGGAGCCGGCCTGCACTCCAGAGATCCTGCATGATGCTGAGGAGGAGATGATGTTCTCACTAGAGCTGGTTTTTCTGGACTAGGCAGGCTTCAGAAGCTCTGAAGTTGGTCACCATTCCCCTGGCAGTGGTTTTCACTGTCTCAGGCATTCCCAGGGAACATATTTTGACCTGATAAAAATCATTCCCAAACACTCTATTTTGTTCTACTGATTCAATCAAACAGTGTCTGAAGTAAATGGTTTGAGGTATTGTAACCGGATTTATGTTTGCGTTTTATCCCAGGTTTTGAAACTGTCAGGTAAAGTACACCTGACTGGCCTTCTGGATGGCCTCATTCATTCATCTATTCATTCAGTGTACAATGTGGGCTGGTTTCTAACAGTGTTAAAGCACATGAAAACTTACAGTCTAGTCGCAACTCAACGTGCTTTTGAAGCGAACTCAAAACACAGACACTTTAGGAAAGCATAATGAGAATAATGAGTGGGACCCTTCCTTCTTCCTTACCTTGCTCTGATGGGTTGGGATCCTAGTCTGGGTCCCAAAGCACTGCCGTTTCCAGGTGAATTCTTTCTGGCTAATGCTGGGGATATGGAAGTAGTTCTTTGAGGCACCTGGAGGAAAAACAGAATTCAGAAATATTTTCCATAAAAGAGTTTTCAGAGGCTACTGTCCAGAAAACTTACTGCTTTCACAAGATTTGATGAAGTTACAAAGATAACTTGAAATAGGAAAGAATTATCTTTCAGTCCTCACAGAAATATTAAATTCCCTAAACAAAACCAAATGAGTCTAATGGCAGAAGGCAATGGGCCACACTCAACAACCAATCAAGGTCATTTTATGTCTTAAATTTAAATATGGACTAATAATTTTCTTTTGCTAACATGTAAGAAATTAATGTCTCTTTATGTGGAGCAAGAGTGGTAGATATCAGAAACCTTTGGGGTATTACCTCATCGGAAGTTGCATCAAATCAAAGCCACTGCAATAAAGCCAATTTTCCTCTTTAAGCTCCCATCATAACTAAAAAAACTATAAAATCTGACAAGAAACTGAGATATCAGGCTAGACCTTGGGACATTCAGTAACAAATCAGTGAGCTTAGAGAACATACTACAATAGGACCTGCATATTGCTAGTCAACTTGCAAACACTAATTAAAATCCCCAAACCCCAGAAAGTCAATTGGCAAATCCATTACAAAATAACACTAATACTGGAAATAGTGGCAGGATCTTCAAAACTCCCAAGTGAGTATCATTAGGACTGCAGGGTGCAGTTAGAAAGTGTATTATTAGCTCCGCTGGGAAAAGCCTAAGGTTGAGTTCAAGAATTCTTTTTAAAATACTACAGACACTTTTAAAAAATAAAATCAAATACTACAAGTGCACAAATAAGTATATTATTTAAAAGAATTATATATGAATTCTAGTACAGAAAGTTACTTTCAATGCAAACTGATGTTCTTTGTTTGGAAAATTTATTATTATTGTTATTTGGTACCAGGAATTAAACTCATGACCTCATGCTTACCAGGCAGGAGCTGTGCTACTGAACTATATCCCCAGAAGTTATAATTTATTTCAACATAAAAATGAGTTAGTGAAGTGAAATAGAAGGTCAGATTAATATTATCATCTGTTTAAATTAAAGATTGCTATTGCTATTTTTGCTGTTTCTTTTGTAAATGCATTTGTAGAGAAGAGTGTAATGAATTATTAAAAGATGAATCTTTGAACTGACCAAAAGTTCCTTCCCAGCACACAAATGCACCATGTGTGTTTTAAATGCATGCGTGTACGTTTTTAGAATGAACTAATAGTTTCCTCTTTCAGTTTCTGAGAGCTCCAGAGTCTACCTTATTTTCCACACTGAAGTTTGGCCCTAAGAAACCTTTCCTGATAATAATTCTGCTTCCACAAAAGGAGGACATCAACAAAAAAAAGCCATTATCAGCTATGTTCATGTTCAAAATAATGGAAGTCATAGTGTGATATCCCTTTGAGAGGACAAAAAATATATCTAAATCACTAAGTAGAAACTATTATTATTTTGTGGAATTAATAATGATATTATTTCTTGGAAACTGTTGGACATTAATTTGTCACTGGTCCTGATGCTGAACTCTGGAGAAAGAGGATTCCTAAGCCAGGAAGAAAAATGCGTTCAGTGTTTTGAAAAATATCCAGCTTACTTGTCACCAATGCATAGCCACACTCCAGAACGTACCTAGCAAAGAGTAATAGCTTGGTATATGAAAACAAAAGAAAAAAACCCTCAAAACTCAGGACTGTCATTTGAGAGATGAACTTAAAACAATGCTGAGAGTTTGTCTCACTCCAGAAAGAATGGCAATCATCAAGAAATCGAACAATAACAGATGCTGATGGGGTTGTAGGAAAAAAGGAACACTTCTTCACTGCAGGTGGGAGTATAGACTGATGCAGCCACTGTGGAAATCAGTGCAGAGAGTCCTCAAAAAACTAGGCTTGGAAGTCCCATTCGATTCAGCAATTCCCCTTCTGGGTATTTTCCCAGATGAATTGGAAACATCACACCACAGTGATATATGTTCACCCTTGTTTGTAGCAGCACAATTTGTAATAGCTAAATCTTTTGGGTATTTGGGAAACAACCCAAATACCCATCAACTGCAGAACAGATAAAAATTATGTAGTATTTTTATAGAAGGGAGTATTACTCAGCTATAAAGAAGAATAAACTTGAAGCTTTTGTAGGTAAATGGATGGAACTTGAGCCCATACTCATAAGTGAAATAAATCAGTCTCACCTGTGTAAATATCTTATTGTCTTCCTAGTATAAAGAATTGAAAGAGTAATTAAGATCCAAAATGTACAGTAGATATTGTGAAAGTGAAAGGTAAAAAAACTGCCCAAAACGAAAGAACTGGAATCAAGAGAAAACTGGAGAAAAGAAAGATGGGAAAAGATTGTGTGTGTGTGTGTGTATTCATACATATACATATATATATATATACACATACAAAATAGATAACTATACTACTAATCTCTGTTAGTTCATCAAAAAGAACAGTTTTCATGCCTATATCTTGTAATCTGAGTAACTACTTTGAAGATAAAAATTTGCAATAAATTAACCAATGTTAATCTCCTGTTTTTTTGAAAACACAAAACAAAACAAAACAAAAAACCTCACTATTGTTTTATTCAGTGATAAGCCTGGATTTTTTGCCCTGAAATTTTATTTTTAGTAGTTAAATGAGGATGGAATTGAATAAGCTCTGAAAGGATTTTTCCTTAAAATTTCCAAAAGGAGCATTCCTTAAATGAAGCCATCTAGGAGTAATAGCACCTATTGAATCCATGAAATCCAGTTTCACTTTATAAGGTTAAACAATAGGAATCAATAAACCTTTGTCTTTTTATCTGAAAGTTTTCAACTTGTCTAGATGTAGATTCAATCACCAAAGAAAATATCCATTATTTTGTTTTTTAGTATGAATGTGAAAATAGTCTAGGATGCTTCCACTGAGAGTTCTAATTGTGAAACACGGGACATATACTTAAAAGTCAATCAAACTACCTCAGTCTCTGCTCTTTCAAGGGAAAAAAGGAAGTTCAGAAACAACAAATGATATTCTAGCTCTTAGCCTGGGAATATCAAGCTAAGGAGAAGAAATGATCCACTGGCATTATTCCATTCTTTGCTGCTATGAAGGCTGGCAATAGTATTGATAATAATGAAATGATGGTGATGATGATGGTGCTGGTGATGACACAAACACACCAGTAATAGTGACATTACCTTTGGTGGAATGTCTTCTTCCTGTCGTAACCAAGAGCTTCTGTCAAACTTCTCAATGCGAGTGGGAAGAGGAGGGTTTTCAGAGGTGGGATCTGAGTTCTGGCGTGGCATCTCAACACGGTGAGGGGTCACGTTCAGAGCCTCCTGAAACCCAGACAGGCCTTTCGTGGGCTGCTCATGCAATGACTGGGAAGCGGTCAAGGCAGGTCCCTGGGATTTTACAGCCACCAGTTGTGGAATCTAGGCAGAAGTCAACATTAGAGTAGCATTATTAGAAGCAAAAATAGATACACCAGGGTCTCAATCAGTTGAAAGGAAAAATGTCCTGGGCATGAGACTTGGACTACAAAGAGTCTATCATCACTATTCACGGCATGCTTTTCACAGTTCTTCAGAAATCTTCCGCTTAGAGCAGTGTGTAAGACTAACTAGGGTTCCTGGAAGCAACCTAAATGGTTTACTCGGGCCTGCTAAGAAGCCATTGGAACAGTGTGATGAAAATAAAAGTAACTATATTTAGTGACTATTCACTGACAGGAATACATTTTATAAGCATTTCTCTTTTAATATTACAAACATCTTCTTTTTGATCCCCTAACTTGGACCTTAGGAAGCACTATTTATAAAACAAAACTGCTCTTGCAAGCAATAAAACGATACTGTCTACTTGTGAACTTACTGAATGCACCTTGATGTGGACACAACCCTTCCTTCCTTGCACACATGAACAATATCAGGAACAGAGGTTAAGGTGCACTTTCAAGTGCATGGCTGGTTTGTGCTGGAGCCTGGATAGAAACCCCACCATTGCACACTCACAGCCTACAGGCCTAATATCCTGCTTCTCTGCAGTCTTGGCTGTCATCATCTAAACCATTAAATAGCTCTTGTGGTGAAATTTAGTTGTTAATTTTTTTTTTTTTTTTTGGTGGTAGTGGGGATGGATCTTATGACCTCATGCTTGCCAGGCAGGCACTTATGCCACTGAGCTAAATCCGCAGCCTTTGTGGTGATATTTAAAGACAGTAGTAGTCTCTCAGTGAAACTGTGGGCCTTTAAGAGAAGTCATTAAGTTTGGATAAAATATATCCTTTTCCCATTAAGCTGCTCACACTTCACTGTGTTTAATGACTAGTTAAACCTGTCTTTCTTCAGAAAGCTCAGATCCCTGGAGACAGGTGCTTTGGAAGTCATGCTCATCACCATGTCCCCATGCCTAGATTTATGCTTGGCCCATGGAAGGCATTCAGTAGGTCTTAGCTGGGGAAAATTTAGACTGCTTTTTAAATTGAACTGCTAGTTCAACAAACATTAATTTAGTATCTGATTTGTACAAGGACCCATCAAACTCTCTTGCGTCTGAAGTGTCAATTGGAGTGTTATTAATAGCAATTCAAAGGAAATCCTCAAAGTCTAGTTCTATTGAATGTTTTACTTCAACCAGAGCAGAACCAGTCAAATTTATAGCACTGCTAAATAACATTAAATATTATAAGTATATGACTAAAATAAAGTACATTAAAGGATCTAGTATAAAACACAACCTACTTTTAAGAATCTAGAAACAAAAACTGAAGTGCCTGAAGACTGTTCCACTAATCAGCAGTTACCATGTCTACATTTTCACTCCTTAGTCACTTTCAGAGAGGTAAGCTTTCCCCAGCACTACACTTTCACAGGGCAAAAGTACACCATAAAGTCAAAGTTAAGGTTTATAGGAGAGGATATTTGTGTGTCAAAGAGAAGTTCATGTAAAATATGTCTCTTTGACATATTTTTCATGTAGGTATGAAAGAACACACATAAAAACAAGGGGAAGAAGATACATTAAGTTGACTGATGCTGGAAAATCTTGGATCTCATCCATTACAAGCAAATTTAAGGCATGAACAATACTTGATTTTATCACTACTTTTTAAAGCTCCAACACAAACAGCATTTTATATTTCAAAAGTGGCCTGAAAATATAATGTGGAAGTCATAATGCAGGTGGATGCCAGGAATAACTTTAAGGCGTTTGAGTGAAACAGAACAAAACAACAAAACAAAAAGTGTTGCCTTTATTGTTCTATAGAATTACATACTCTATCTCACAATGTAGTTCATTTTTGGGATACACAGTAGTATAAATTAAAAGTCCTATGGAACTTTGAGAAACTTCCCCCTTTCCTAAAAGTGAGGTCATTTCTTTTCCTTGTCAAGTAGCTCACAGCAGTGATTCTCAGGCTCTAATGTGCAGCAGAATCTCCTGGAAGGACTATTAAGCTCAGACTGTCAGGCCTCACATGATGTTGCTGATTAGCAGGCCTGCGGTGGGCCCAAGAATCTGCATTTCTATCAGGTCTATTTGATAATGCTGATCCTGGCATCCAGTGACTACACTTGGGAGAACCATTGCTTCTGAAGATGCAATTTTATTTTACCAAGCCCATTAAATGTTTTTCCAATTTCAGGCTCCAGCCCAAGTCCCAAAGCACACAAGTCTATTTATATTATACACTTTATACTGTGAAGATCTGTGTCGGGGGTGGCAAATCTATGGCATTTGTGCCTCAGCAGGCTGTGCGTATCACTGAAAGCTCTAACAGGTTCACTATCACTGGTCAATGTGAATTTTAGTTTTGGTAAATATTAATAATTGCCAAATTACTGCTTCCACTTGTCCTCACCTTGCAGAAACTTTAGAGTTTTTGAGAGAGGCCAATTCATCAAGAAGTGACTTTATAGTTGAATCAAACTGTAGTGCAATTCCTTTTTCATCTTATTCCTCTACCCTTCAAATTCAGTGGTACCTCATATATGACACTTGTCACCTAGTTTACTTCATGCTCTAATCCACGTTACAATTCATTAGACTTTTAATAAGTTTTATTGTATACCCACATCTCCAATGAAACAAAACAGAGATTGTACCTGGGGATCAACAGGTCTCAGCATAGGGGGTGTTCGAGCAGGCTGAACCCCACTGATGCTGAAGGACTCCGACCTTGGGGGCAAGTTGGGGTCAGAAATCCTGTTGGCAACCTTGTGAGGCATGGCAGGTGAACTCTGCCGGTTGAGCCTTGACCGTTCTTCTACCTACAAGCCAAAGAAGGAGGGAAACTCAGTGGATAGAAGTCAATTCATTTACCAGGAAGGATTTTCTGTAGTCATCTGCACAGCTATTTTTGTGTTCCTCTGGTTAATTCTTAGAGCCAAAATTCCTCATTTTTGCTCTGCATTGATAATTTGCAAAAAGCTTGCTTTCTCAATTCTTTTAAAAATCAGAGCAAATACTAGTGGCAACAACAACAAAAGTGCAGAATATCCAAGCCATTACCTTTCGTACTTCAATTGGCTGAGAAGTCAGGGCTTGCTAAGTGTCTACCTTGGGCTGACTGGGATGTCTTGCTGATTGGTCACAAAGCCATGGGGTCAGGCAGGAAGACAGTTTGCACGCTAGATAACCAAAGGGAACTGCAGTAGGCATTCAGATTGCTTGAAGGAAAATAGCAAGCTGCATTGGGTTGACTCATGGGACAGGAAGTGGAAGGAACTCAGGGAGGCTGACAAGAGGGTGACATAGTGCACAAACCCTCTGCTTCCTCACAGGACTGCTGACAGGCAAGGAGGAGTTCCAGGCTGTCCGCATGATGAGTATGGCCCGTCCTACACAGACTTCCTGTATCATTTTCTTGTTCTCTCTCTAGGCCCTTTCTTTTCAGTTGTCGCTCCCTGCTCCCTAAAATACACTGCTCCTCCTCATTCTTTCCATCCCCAGGTTGGGCGCCACTGCTTGACCTCTCCCTGTTTCTCATTTGTAAGAGTTCCTTCTTGCTTCCCTTCTCTCCCCCTCCCACCCTCTCTCCCCTTGTCATTTCATTTTCCTTCACTGTCTTCTAGGGTCTCTCTTAGCTCAAATCGGGTAACTGAGTCCAAAGGAGTAAAAGCTGCCCTTGGCACCTATTTACAGTGGACTGTCTATTGTAGAGGACAATTTTAAAGAGAAACTTAGATTAGCACGATGCACAGTGTAAGACATGATGTAAGACTGTAGAGACAGCTTCCAGAGATCTAAGACTTCCTATAGATCCTATCTGACTTTTCTTTAGGGTCAACTCAACTGTCGTGCTTTCCGAATTTGGCAGGGCACTTACACCACTATTCCTTCTTTGTTTGTTTGGGTTTTTTTTGTACCGGGGATCAAACTCATGATTTACACTGCTGAGCTAGACCCCCTGCCCCTACTCTATCTACTTTGATGAGTGAGCTCCAATTCTCTTCAGCTGATTCAATTTCCACGCCTGTTTGCATATTTTAATGTAGCAGCCAATATTTTTTCCAATTTTAATGCCTGATTGAAATAAAACTCAAAAGTGCTTTTCTTTCCCACACTCCCTACCCATTTTGAATTTTCTGAAGGCAGACTCAGTCTCTTACACAGAATGTCTGTTTTATTTTTTAAACTGTTGCAGTAACCTCAAATATTTAAACATGATGAAGACATGCCACAAAATAGGAGACATCCTTCCTGCCTCAACTGCGGGCTAATTTTGATGTCTCTTCCCCCCATGTCTATGCAGACATACAACTGGCACCCAACTGACTTTGGATTTGAAATTCAGTATTCCAGAAGCTCATCACACACCAAATGAGTTGCAAAAACCTGGGAACATAAACCATAACACGTATACTTTGTGCGTCTTATGTGCAAAGTATTATATCACCATAGTTATTCAGTTATTGCAATGAGCAAAGGAATGAAAGCTGCCCTTGACATAAAACCACAAAGAAAACATCCTGCAAGGACAGCGATAGATACACTGAGACTAAGGCATGCAATTTACTAGTTTCCAAAAACTTTAAAAAAAGAAAGATCTTTCCAGACAATTGGAAGTGGTCAGATATTAGCCATTTTTAAAATTTTCAGGAATACTATTAACAGGTAAATGACTCTCTGAACTCTTGCTATCCCAAACACTAATGTCTGAGCCCAGGAGCCTAAGAGGTTCAGATACACTTCAGATAAATAACTGGTTATCAACAATCTAACCACGTTATTCTAAATTCAAGAAGCAAATATATTCAGAAAAGGGGGAATACATCTAATCATTATTTTAACTATAAAATATACTCAGTTTTAAATACACATTAAGAGACAGCACACTAAAAACCAACAGTAGAAAAGTAATCATTCTGAAGATAATTCCTTTGGAAACTGACAACAATATTCTAGTAAAACAAGCATCCTTGACAGTATTGGAACCACAAGTCACATAACAAGACAGAGGGTGAGGTATGGATTTTGAGAGGCAATGAATGGCCTTATATAGTTGTGTACAGGTGTTACTATTATATTCCTAGAAAAATTTCTTATGATTTTTATCAGCTTGCACACTAAACTCTGCCATTAGTGCATCTCAGTCTTCAGATGCTAAAATATATAAATAATCAATTGTTACACTTCATAAATTATTTCAGGATGGGTCCAATGTGCATTAATTTCCTAGATTGGGGCTGGGGATTTAGCTCAGTGGCATAAGCGCCAACCAGGCAAACATGAGGTTGTGAGTTCGATCCCTGGTACCAAAAAAAAAAAAAAAAGTGTAATTTCCTAGATTGGAATTTGTCCAAAGAAATTTTAAAATCTATGAGAAGGTTGTAAAAAATCGAGGCAGCCTGGATAACATTTTATATTCTTTTGAAGCCTTGTTTTTTTAATTCTGAATTTTTTTCCAGGGCTGGGAATTGAACCCAGGAGCTTAGTGCTTAGTGCTAGGCTCTGAGCTACATCCTCATCTACATCTTAAGCTACATGCTCAGTTCTATCTGTCTTAAAAAAGAATTATCCTGAAGTGAACAGGACAGAAAGTAGGACACTGCCTTAGCAGGTAACGTTGGTCAGCTGCTTCACAGAAAAAATCACCTCCAGTATTGGAATAAATATACCAGATCAAATGTTGGAAATGGTGCTTCACAATGGAAAAGCTGGAGAGTGGATCTGTAACTGGGCCATTCTGAATATTTTGATACCAAGTAGATGCCTGTCCCCTGATTTATGACAATATATTGGGTCCTCATGGAAGAGGAGATAGATTTATGCACGGGACAAAAAATAATAAAAAAACAAAAAAGTGGCCATTCCCCTGCAGATAAGTATACATACCATTAAAAACAGGTCTAATGAAGACATGTTTCCATCCACTCAGGATATTTACAAAAATCTAGTTAGCAAGGCATTTGCTCAAATTTCCTGCTGCTAAGAAGACATAAAATATCAGGAACACCACATGAAAACAGCGCTCTAGTACCATGAGGCACAGAGCATCCAGGTGCTAAAACGTAACAGCAAATGATCTGTTACAAAAAAATTTCTAATTGACAGGATTATTAGAGCAAAACTTGAACAGAGATTGATCAATTTTACCACCAAACCAAATGTTCCACTTATTAAAAGCATTGTTTTAACATACAAACTAAAGTAACTTTGGTGTCAACCGCCTTTGCAAAAATGTTGTACTATTACTGTAACATTTTAGGGAGAAAGAAAAAAAATTAGTCTAAGAAATAAAATTCTGTTTGAAACAGGGTTGTGACGTTCACTGGATTCTTTCGGAGTGCTGTCTAAGCCCTATAAGATGTATCTTGGCTACATAAACATAGAAGATGTAAAAGTAAATCTGATACAGCAAATTTCAAAATAAATAAAAATATAAACATAAAGAGAAACACTGTGTCAATGTCATGTCAAACTGTTTTGTACACTGAAAACAATTTGCAAGTATACTCGCTTACTTCACAATAATCAATAAGTGTTGAGGATCTCAAAATAAAATTATAAAACTGATTTCAAGAAAGTTGACAGTAAAAGTAGCTTAGGACGTCGGATGAGTATATTTTAATAACATGTTATATAATGTTGGGCTCTTGGATCTATGCAGGACTTATCATGTTTTACCTTACTGAATTAAACAATTAAACATAGTTGCATGGAATTGCATTTGTTTCTGTAACTGAACAAAACTTTTTTTCTTACATTTTTTCTGGCAATGAGAGAGCAAAAGAAAGAAATCAATAAGTAACTTTTTAAGTGCTCACTAGATGCTTTGACCTTGTGTTCACTGGCACATAAAGGGCTGAATCACACATTTTTTGGTAAAACCACATAAGCAGACTATTACTGAGTAATGGGGTCGCCCCTTGCGTGGAGTGCCTTTGAGAGACTCACTCATATAGAATGCTTAAAATGCAGTCAGTCTTAAGATAAGAGGGTAGAAGACTTTTTCAAGATTTATGGCCAAAAAGTATTCTAGAAAAAAGTGTAGAACCGTGTGAATGTAACACATAACATAAAATAAATCAAGGAAACCATTAGCAAGTTGAGATTAGAAATAAGTAGTAAGCACTGAGAAGAGGAGTGAGAAGATGGGGATGAACATGAACTGGTCATGTGAAATCAAGTCAGAAAAAACAGAAACAACACTTACTACCTGCGGGTGGGAACAGAAGACGTGTATGCTGGGCAGCATTTTACTTGCATTTGTACAATGTGTACTGTTTAAGTGACGTGAGCACGTGCATTACTGTCTGGGCCCCTCCTGTGAAGCGGAAAGCAGGGTGCTACATCTCGGGAGCCCAAAGACTCAGCCTGGCCACCTGCCAGGAAACGGAAGAACTGGAACTCAGATATACCCCTTTCTATTTCCATTTGGATTTTTTTTAATGTTAAATCATAAGAAACATAGGAGAAATTGAGGGCCAGCCAGAGTAGAGTTGCAAACTCCCTAAACAGTCTTTAGGACACTCACAGAAGGCAACTTGTATAAAAAGACAAAAAAAAAAAAAAAAAATTAGTGTTAAACACTGAAATGTAAGTAGAGACATTTTTATATACAGGGATGTCAAAATCCAATTGGATGATGGGAAGTAAAGATCTTGGCCATGATTAGGTTATTGTTTGCCACATAAAACTAAGGCCAGATGACGGTTATGCATCTCAGAAAGAACACATGCTGCAGTATTAAAAATCATAACACAATCTCAAGCAGCATTACCACTGTGTGCCATTTTTTTTTTTTTTTTTAGGTATATGGAGTGGGAAGGTGGGATGCACAGAATTGTTTCCAGACCCGGACAATTACATGCCATTTTAAGCTACAAAGAGAAAAAAAAAAAGGAACCTCTATTATCAAAAAAAAAAAAAAAAGTGAGAAAAAAGGCATGCTCACTCAGCTTATGTTCAATATAACATCATACTGAAGCTTTCACAGAACAAGTATGATTCCCATCCCAATCCAGAAATGGCAGAGAATTTGAAAACGGGGAGTATTTCCCTAACCTCCTTATTTTTTTTAGCACAGAGATTCATGTTCCTCTCTGGTTGATATTTGAAAATGAAAGCCAGTACTCCACTCAGGACAGATACAAGATTCAAGAAAAAGAGCGCAACAAGGCTTTTAAATCATCAAGCTCTTTCATTTGTTCTTATTGCATCCAACAAATTAATCAGAAAAGTAACAGTCACTTTTGTTTCACAAAATGAAGAGAGAAAAACACAGAGGGCTACACATCGCAGGATGGCATGGCTGATGAAAAACTGTTGATTTGGAATTGAAGAAAAGTGGATGAAACGATTCTGAAAGATGGAAAAAAAACAAGCTGACAACAGAGTGCAGAGCAGAGGTAGACAGCAAATGCTGAAGCAAATCACAGAATAGGCAAATCTGGGTGGCGTTTTCCTTGGCTCACAGGCCCCAGAGCATCGAACCTGGGTCACAGAAGACAAGGGCACAGCTGTCCAGTCTTCCCTGGAAAGGATGCTTTCAAATTTATATCCTGGGAGTTTAGGCATTTGAAAAAGAAAATGGTGTCCTCAAGAGAACTGATTCAGGCTTTCTTATCAGTTGATAGTTAAGATAAGACATCTGTACATATCTTACAGACCTGAAACACGTGTTACCATTTTGTTACTTTGAACCCCATTTTCATAATACAAAGAAAGAGATCCGCAAATAATGCTTTAGAAGAAAATTGTGTATGCTGCTGATGAGAAGCATTAAAAGGTCAAGAAGACAGAGCTCCTTAGACACATTTTTCTTCCCAGTTTAAGAAGTGGGTATTAAAAAGCAATGAATCAAACGAAGGCAGACAATTACTCATTCTTATTTGTACATTGGCTGCTCCAATCCCAAATTTAGCTCTGTCACTCCCTCTACCACCTAAATAATTTCTTTCTTCTACAATATAATCCTCCAATGTAAGACTTGAGGACTGTTTCATGAGTAGACTGATGGTTAATTGAAAGCTAGATTTTGTTACCCACATCCAGGAGGAGAGGACTTAATACAAAATCCCCACAGAATGTCCCCACCTATGTCTGCAGGTACATGGAGGCCAAAGGGAGAGCACATGCTCGAGCTGCTAGGAAGCCAGCGATGTTAGAAGCCCTCATCCCCAGAGATGGCCAAGAACCCTCACTTTGGGGTGCTTGGTGACATAGCCATGTTATTGCATAACCCACTGCTTTTCTTTCACTGGCAGAAACCTTTCCTGGAAGCATAGGAAAATTAAGATATCTAGGGAATGGCTTTGGTGGCATCTGCACAGATTTGTCTCCAGGCATCCAGGGCTTCGGAGTGTGTGGGAACTCAGAGTTAGTTCTGAATACAGAAGATACACCAGGAGGCATAATGATGAGGACAGACAGCAGACTGGAATCAGTGAAATCAAAGTGGACAAATTCACATCAGAACAGTCCAGGCTGAAGAAAGGAAGTGGGAACTGCTCATGCTCTCCTTTCTTTTCTGGTACATCTGTGAATGAGGGAGCTGCCTGGGGGAGCAAAGGAATTCTGGAATGTTTTGCAAGGGCTCGGAGCCCTCTTAGACAGGCTCTGCAGGTGTCTCTTTTCTAAACTCTTGCCCGGGGGTGGGAATGCTGATGCCCAAGCAGTCATACATCAAGTAAATGCATGTCCCTCCTGCCCTGGGGTCCATCTCTCAGGGCCTCTTTAACTGCCCTCACGGACATGTATGAGCTCGTCATTTTGCACCTACTCGGAGAGGACACACTCATGACCTTAGGTCCTAACTCTGGAGTTGGGCTACTTCTTCGAGAGCAAGAGTATTTTGGCTATCTCACTATGAGCCTTGAGGTTTGCTGAGGCTTAATTCTTCCAAACTAAGCCTAAAAGGACAACTTGGCCCCTGTTTCTTCTGGAAGTGATGCTTCAACAGTAGTTCTGATCTAGAACTATACATTCGTGTAGGTGCGACTGGCCTTAGCTTTATAGTGGTCAGTTTCTCAGCTTCCTAAATAACCGCCATGGTCAAGAGCTGAGTGTCTGGCTTAATTGGGAATTTCTACTTGGCATGGCTAGCAAATGGCTTGTCAGGAGAGGAAGATGGTGCACTGCCGCATAATGATTCTGCTTAGCTGGAAGAGCAAATGACTTAGCAAGAGGTCATGCTTACCTGGGTGCAGGATCACAAAATCGAATTACTGATTAAGAGAAAAGGTAGCCATGATAGGGCTAAGTGTGAATCATGTTTGTACACTGTAAGAGAAAGTCATCAAAAATGTTCCTTGCCTGAAATCAAAATAATTTTCTTTCCAGACTTAGTATTTTTAATTTTTTTAAAAAGCTTTTTTTATTATAATAGCATATGACCATTATAAAGAGTTTAAATAACATATGAATGTATAAGAAAAACTTTAGGTGAAAAATTATTTTTCAAATTTCTACTTCCCTTTAACCACTGTGATTAGCAATAGGGTAACATCATTACATGCATTTTCTGTATATATGTGAAATAGGATAGAAAAATTAAAAGAAATTATAAAAAAATCTTTCATAAGAAATCTGGTTTTGGTGATATTACAGTCCAGATAACTTGAAAAAGCTCTATCTACAAATACCTAATGAAAACAGATAAAAATATGTAATAACTCCAAATTTTCTCTTAAATGACTAGCTATGTTCACACGAAAATAAAGGAAATTGCTAGATGAAATCACAAAGAATGACAAAAAAGAAAAACAGGGTGCCACCCTCATCCTGACATAGTTACTCTTGAAAGTGTGATTGATCTTGGTTGGAATTACGATTTTGTTTGTTTGCTTTTCTTATTTAATAATCATCTCTTTTTCTCCCATTCAAATAGCTTTTAGTGAGATTTTTAAATCAGTTCATCCTTGAGTTAAGTTTATTATTATTATTATTATTATTATTATTTTGGTACCAGCGATAATGACCTCATGCTTGCCAGGCAGGTGCTGTGTCACTGAGCTACATCACCAACCACAAGTTAAGCTTCTGAAAGCCATTCTTTAGCCTTGAAGTTGAGCAAATGAAAGACCTTCACTTGGGAAGTATCTGCACAATATATAAGTGACCTCTGGTCTTGAAAGTGTGCGTCACAGTCACATGTTTCAGGTCCACAGTTCACTTGTGGGGACCACATTGAACAACGCAGTTAGCAACAATGCTTGTAACCAGTACCAGGGTTCAGAAAGACAGGAAATGATTCTGCCTAGAACCTTTCAAATCCCTCATCACATACTTCTGAGGAAGAGTCACTAAAATCTTCATATCAGAAATCCACCTGTATTCAAATGAGGAAAACGATTTTTCTACTTCCTGATTGCCTACAAATATCCGCTATTTCTGAAAAGACACACACACACACACACACACACACACACACACACACACACAGAGTGGAATAAAGATACTTTGCCATTTGTCTACAGAAATGTCATGGTTTTTCAAAAAGCAAACCGTAACTTTCTATGAACCTCATTCAAGGACACTTGTGGAGGAGCGCATGATGGTTGACGGCCTGCCCAACAAGCTGTGGCCACTCTCATGTACGTACCTCCTTGGCCCATGCCGGCTTCTCACTAGGACTCATCCCTTCCTTGTAATGGTACAATGGCTTCTTCTCCAGGGGCCTCTGTTCCTGCCGCTGGTGCTGAAGAGAAACCAAGTAGTCTCTCTCTTGCTTTAGCTGTCTCTGCAGCCTTTCTGCTTGTCTCTGTTCTTCCAATTGCTTGCGCTTATATTCCTACCCAGATCAGGAAAGGACAGCAAAGAAAGGGCCAAATTACTACAAGGAAACGAGTAGGGCGGTAGGAGCGATGCATGCAACAATAGTAAAATGAGGCTAAGTAACAAACAAGCTTACATTTACGCAGAACTACTGGAGAATGTCAGGGGTGCACAGAAATCAGCCCCAGTCTTGTATTAATATCCATGCAAGAACATATCATTTAATGAAAACATTATTGCTTACAGAACAATACCACTTGCAAAATGACTTGTCCCTGATGAATTGCAGCTGAGAAAATGGCAATAATGAGGGTATTTGGATGGCTGGCACACAAGCCCTGTAAGAAGTCATTCACTTCCTAGTGTAGTAATTAAATCACTCAAACATGCATAATTAGATACAAAACTAAATAAACTGCCAGAGATGGTACCTAAATCATCATTTGTTTAATAAAACTTGGGCAGATAAAAACTGTTAGCATGCTTATGTACGTGCTAAAAAAATATCGAAATGCCACTGAGTAAAAAGTTCCGTTAAAAAAAACACACCAAGAAGCCCATTTGGAGAGCAATGCAATAATAATAATAATAAAGAGTACTTCAAGTGGACGCTGCATGAGCAGGGAACATAAAATGTTCCCATCGTAGGAGCAAAACCAACAGTCTGCAAATGAAATACGATTGCAGAGCTGAAGGGTTCTTGTGGAAGTGGTGCGTTCTGCTGTGACTGTACTCCAGCACGTTGCAAGTGGCCTCGGAAATTACTGTGTAATAAACACAGTAGGTTCACTGGCAGTCTGAACTTACAGTAAGGCTGGATTCATGTTAAAGTTTCCCCAATACGTGAACTTAATAAAGAATGCATCGTAATTACATTAAGTGTATAAGAACTTGGCAAAATGGATTAGAACATGTACGAAGGTTTTATGAGGTTTTGAGGTCCACAAAACTTATAGAACCTCTCTTTTAAGTGGCATGTTAGAAGGAGGACACACAGGTTGGGCCAGGGGTATAGCTCAGTGGCAAAGCACCTGCCTGGCAAACACAAGGTTATGAGTTCGATCCCTGGTACCACAAAACAGACACACAGGTTGAGCACAGAGAAGATCAGCTAGCTCAGGGCTTTCCCATTACCAGAAGTAGCGCTTGTTCATGCAGAAGCTGCTGCTGCAAGATTTCTAACTGTCTTTGCTCCTCCTCTAACTGTCGCCTGATGTACTCCTGGAGAGGTAGGCAGCAGAGAATTCGGAAGAACAGAAAGAGAGAGAGAAAAAGAACCAATAATTTCAAAAGTGAGAGAGCTGCCATGTAAAGTGTGGAAGGAAGAAGGGGAAAAATAACCCAGCACCTCCTCATCAGACACAAAGAGTGCGTCACACCAAAGCCACAGCCTTTCAACACAGTCAAAGGCACAAGCCCTCCGCTCGCTACTGTTGGCTGAGATAGCTTACCCTTTACCGCTACTGGCCTTTAATAAACCCAGCCACAGTTTAAAGTTCTTCATTACAGGACGCTCTCTTTATGGACTACCAAGAATCAACAGTGCTGTAAAGTCCTGAGGCTCCTTTGTGAGCAGCAAGGGTAAAACAATCATGTGATGCCATCCAGCCATCTGTGCAACATGACCATCCTGCGGTGTCACTTGTCAGGATGTGATTCTCCAGGGAGGGGCTGATATCAGTGCAGGAATTGAAAGGCTCTACTGAATAGAAGAGTAGGAGTCGGTCCGTTTTCATGCTCCAGTGCTACCTTTCAATCAGAGGGCCCCGACATGTCAGGAGACACTGGCATGGGGAGGGATCGAGGCTGAATGAATGGCCATTGCCAAGGCTGTGCGTTTGACTTGTTGAACAGGTGAGAAGAGTGAAAACCTGACCTGAGTCATCCAAAGCAGGTGCCCCACATCCCAGAGATGCCCAGGGCAGGGGCTGACCAAGGCGCAGTGGGTGCCCATCCGGCCATACCTGCTCGTGCTCCGCACGCCTCCGCTCCTCCTCCCTGCGCATTTGCTCCTCATAGTGCCGGCGCTGCTCCCTCTCCTGCTGCTTCCGCAGCTCTTTCTCTCTCCTCTGTTGCTGTGGGACAACAAGCAGACAATAATCAAGGTGGGGATGGGTAGAGTGGGAGTCGGGAAACCGACAGAAAGGGCTGTGTAACGGCAGAAGAGATGCCTAGTACCCCAGGGTTCTTCTCTCCTGGGCACCTTGGGGGCATGTGGGCAGGGAGGAGGTGTGAGGGGAAGACTCAGGGTCATGCAGAATGCCCTGCTATTTTACTGTCCTCTTATGAGGACTGACCAAAAAGCTCCGTCTGAGTGTTCTCTCCCAGTGGGCAAGGAGAGGTTTTCAAATCAAGGACAGAAAGTTCCAACGCTTAATAGGTTTTTAAATTATGTATCATCAAACTATGAGACTCCTTCTTATGTCAGTTGATCTACTTAACATCATGTAACACAAACATTTTATAGATAGCAGAAGAATCAGAGAAGTAAAGTGACACATTCAAGACCACATAGTATTTAATGACTGAAAGGCCACTGAAGTTACCGACTCCCGCCAGGCAACCAACCACCCTTTTTCATATACCGAGCTGCTTTTCTGTTTTCTGGAGCAATTCATTTGCGTCAACTCCAACTTCTTAGTCAGATAAGACCTTCATGCTCAGGAGCCATCATGATCATCATGAGCACCGTCATCATCAGCCCACAGTGACCTTGGCCCCGAGAGTGGGCAGTTGTAAGCACCTTACGTGCTTCATCTTACTTAATGTCCACAAAAGTTTGCTGAGCTAGATATTTTTACCCTCATTTTAAAAATCAGAAAACAGAAGCACAGGGGATTTTGTTCAAGGTCATGCCCATGTTGAAGGTCAATCACTGTAATGACAGAGTTTCATTTCAAAAACAGTAATATGACATTAACGTTTAAACTCAATCATAACAGCATTGAGGGGAAAACAGGAATGACAGAGAGATCCCCAATTAATTTGGTTCTTTATTGTACTCTCAGGAAAAGAAAACATTTTTGGCAAAGTTAGAACTATGCCATGCAGTTCTTGAAGCCAACGTTTTTCAAGTAGGAGAGTTCCACTATCCCAAGTCTGGCACATTTGGAATTATGTATGGGCTCACAGGAGGTTTTTTGGTTGTTCCAGCATTTGGGAAAAATGACTATCATTTAGCTTGAGGGGCCAGGGAAGTCAAACATCCTGCAACATACAGGACTGTCACACAATACAGAATATTTCCTTATGCAACATTTCCTTAACATCTATTTTGAGAAAAGATTGGAGCCCTTTATGTCATATCCCTATAGGGAACAGATTGGGAGCCCATTCCCCTGTGACAGTGTCACAAAATTTCACTTCATGGCCGAGGAAGCGTGAGGTGTCTGGAGTAAAATGGATCATGAATGTACCACACTGACAGACCTGCTCTGTACAACCAGGAAAAGAGCTTTCATACAAAAGCTCTCTGTCACAGCCCCAGTAAACCAACAATAGATGTTTGAATGCCAAGAAGCCCCTGAGGAAGCCTCCCCACCATAGCTCTCACAGTAGTCCTCCAAATCTGCTGTCTTCCATCAGCCTCTGAGTCTTTAGAGATAAGCAGTATCTTTTGAAACACAAAATCTATCATTTCCAGACTGACAATAACTTGTCCATCTTAGGTTGCAGGCGATAGGGTGGCCACTGGAGGGCTTTAGGTAGCCAAACGACACAATCAGACTAGCATTTTGGATGCCCTCAGCAGCCATAGGGAAGAGGACAAGGCTGGAAGCTGGAAAGCACTTGACACCTTCCTGCGGGTCTAGGCAGGAAACAGCAGCGCACTGGTGGTGTAGGAAAGGCAGGCCAGGAGTCACTGCTCATAATCACTGCTCAGGACGGAGACACTCTCCAGATTTCCAGTCACTCTAATAGGGCTGGAGAGGATGCCAATTAGGTGGAGAAATTAGAAACCGGCCAAATAAAATAGGTAGAATTTGGTAACAATGTAAGAATGGAGCTCTTGGCTAGCAAGCATGATGGATAATACGACAGAGAAGAACAGGAAAAACACTGGCATGTTGGTCCCAGACACGCCATTATTTCTTTTGCAGAAAAACAATGTAGGAGGACACCAGAAGAAAACATCGTCATAGGAACCAACTGAAAATTTTGGATTACAGACCCAAAACGGAGACATTTCCAACTCACTGAAGTAAATTGGTGCCAGGGCAGACAATAAAGTAATTATGTGTACATATCCGGTTCCTGGCAGGAGAAAGTCCTAATTTATCTAACATTTCAAGCTTTTTTTTTTCCCTCACAACCATTGGTCTCCTTTTTGGGGAAAAGAATAATCAAGTCTTCTGAAGATGAAACTGATTTTTATGTGAAGGATTTGTACATTTTCAACTCCTTTGCCAGGAATCAATACTGTGTTATAATTACACGTCATTCAGGTCTCTACGCAAGGTATATACCGTATTGATTGCAGCTCAAGAACGTTTGGGCTTCCCAAGTACTGTGCAGTTTCTGAGAAAGACACTAAAAATGACTAATAATTAATAATGATCTCACTCACATCAGCCTCTGCTAACACATGGAGGCATCTGCCAGGGCTTCGGTTCCTGTGGTGAGGATGGAATAATAAATTACTCCCTCAACTTTCTGAGGGCACCCTGCCAATTCCCAGCTGCTGTGGCTCCATGCTGATGACTTTCCTGGAAAGATGTTTACTTTCTCTCCCCCTGGGCACAGGGCTACTGGAAGGACATATTGAAACATGTCAAAGAAAGACCAAGTCCCTGGCCTCAAATAGACACCTCTACAAAGCTTTAATGACTCTTGCTCTCCCTGAGTCTGTCAGGCTGGGCCTGGCACCTGACAGGACACACAGAAGCTGTTCAACCGAACAAAGGCAGGAACTCAGAGAAAAACAGACACACACAAAAGATCCCAGCTCAGTACCTTCCTAAGTATTTAGTGTCATTTTCCGTCCTATTAATATTTATGGACTATATCACATCCTATTTTATGCTTTTTGAATGTATTTTATCAATTTTGCAGTCTAGGTTGGAAGCTACAGGGTTTGCGGGTTTCTGTTTGATTCCGGCCTTTATCATTCACTGTTCTTCACACAGGGCCTGGCACTGTTGGTATTTGTTGCCCTGAGTACAGAAGACTGGAGAAACAACAGAAGAGACAGAACTTTCACAGAGTTTGGGACTAGCTCTCACCCTTCCATGCCCTTTTAGCCTTCACAGGCTCTCACAGGCCAGAGCATTCCGCTACATTAACCACATAACAGGGTGTAAGAATGTTTTTCTAAACAGAGAGCCACCGACCATTTACACTGGCAGGATATCTATTTGCTACTTTAGAGATTTAGAGGTTTGAAAATAAAATGAAAGAATAGGCGTGTAAGCTGAAAGGAACAGGAAAACAGAAACTCAGTATTTTTAGGTTACATTCAAAGTAAACATAATGATGATAGTGGTCTTGCTGGCAAAAAGAATGGCTTCAGCCAACTACTCTAAGAATCTTGGCAGATATTTCACCTATACTGAACTGCTTAGAAGTCTATTTTCAGCCGTATCTTCTTGGAGGCACTGAAAAAGTTCTATTCCTGACGATCAGACATTCAGTGACTCTTACTAGGCGGATGACAGATAGTGCTTAGTGTGCGAACTGTCCAGGCTAAAACCATTGTTGCCTTACTTGGTGGGGTAGGTGAGAAGGCTTTCTCATGCTGATTGTCCCTCCTGGTGTTCACCAGGAGCGATTTTTGGAGGAGGTTCTGATCCTCCCCAAATATGCTCCCCTTGGGACACCTCCAGATGGAGGCTGTATGCTCTCCTCTCAAGTGAACTGGATAGTTAATTTTATGGAGGAAATTTTAGCCCCGGTTATGTTGAGAGCATCCTCTAAGGTTAAATACAATTATCCCAGATTAACTATGTAGAATTTCTGTTGTTCAAATTCTTGCCAGAGAATATCACCTCAACTCTAAATACTACTAAAAATACTCAAGTCTTATGAAAGGCCCATTTGTAAGAAATAATCCTCGTGAATGTGCGTTGTGAATGCTGTGGAGCTGGTCTTTCTTTCCTTTGTTTCTTTAAAGGCTCTACTTGGAGTACTTAAAATCAGCAGAAAGGCTTGTGCCGACACCAGAGGATTCTGGCCCTTGTAGAAGTGGCTGTAATGAATTGTTACGCCACTAAATCGCATTTTACAATGTTAGGGGGATAGCCAAAAACAGCTGACCACTGCATTTATGGCAGGAATATCGCTCCAGACGTTATTCACAGCAGAACTCAACCACTGCTAGGCAGGTGTACACACTCCCAGCGGTCTCAGAAAGCCTGGCTGAGGGACTGACTCACGTCTCTCCAGTGCATCCTGGACCACTCCAATTGCCTCCTTCTTCAGGTGCCAGGACTCGCAGAGCCAGCTAGGTGGTCCACTTGGGGCCATGCACTGGACACCATGTCTGCAGGCTCTGTGAACTGACCCTGCTCCTACTGCTTTCTATTTTATTTTTCCTTTATTTCATTTTTAGCTGCTGTACTAACCTCTGTAAGCCACCTTAATGCCTCTTTCAGACTAAAAAAAAGTATAAAGATTTAAACAAATAAGATATAAAACAAACCTTGACTCTCCACCCGTCTTTAACACACACTACATTTCTCTCTCATGAATTCATGTGTAAAGGCAACATTTAATAATTGGTATCTCAAACTTCCACTGCAACGTGTCATTGTGGGAGGTAGCAAAGAACATTTGATCTGGATTAGTGAGACCAGATCTTTTCTTGCCCAGCTACTCACTGGGATACTGAAGCCCACACAGCAGTCAGTGCTGTTTATAAATATTTACTTAATGAATAAGTAATTGGTGTATGACCTTGAAGTCACTTTTACCCAGACTTGAAATGAGGGGCAGATTAGGTAAATCTTGTAAATCTGTTTATTCTAAGAGTCTACCTCTCAAAGCAAGTACCTAACAATTCAGACAGAAAGAAGAGGCAAAGCAAAAGTCTTATGAAAGTTGATGGGGAGACCTGGGTTAATGCCCCAGGACAGGAAAG